TTGTTATGGGCCATAATAGAGTTTGTTAGGGTGGGGTCTTGGCAAAAGTGAGCGACTCGGGTGTGTGAGCGACTCGCCCATGAAGTACGTTATAACTTTAGTAAAACAGGCTTTATAATTAGCTAAATATCTTTTAACTATACTTATACTTAAAGCTTTACTTTAAGCTTTAAATAACACTTTATAAACATACTAGGCTAGTTTATGTAAATATAGCCTAGATTACGCTTAGTGTGTAAAGAATTAGCTATATTAGCTATAAATGCTATCTAAGAGGAAATTTCTTACGCATATAGCTTAAGTATAGTCTTAATAATTACCTACTTTTTTTTATTACCTAGCCTTTATAATTTAGCTGTAGAATTAGCTTGTAAAGGTTATTTAGTGCTATAGTTATTTATTATCTTTTATAAAACTTTACATATAGCTGTAGCATATTTCTTTAAAAGTTTTATGTTTTATTTAAAAACTTAGAGCGTAAGCTGTATCTAACATTCTTTTAGCGCGTCTAAGTAGTGTTATAGGGAATGTATTAGTGTAGGAAGAGTAGTTTAGTAGGGTCTTAGTAAAAGTAAGCAACTTAGGTGTGTAAGCAACTTGCCTGTAAAGTACATTATAAGAAAATAAATTATAGTATAAATTAGTTTTTTTAGCGCTTAGCGCATATACTAGCGGTGTGTTTAAATAATTTACATATACTATACTTATATAAACTATGTGTTTAACTCCTAGTAGTTATTTTACTAACCTTAGCGTAATAGACTTTCTTTTATATTGTAGATAATTAATTACAGATTTTGCTTCCTAGTGCTAGCGAAATAACATTCTCGATGTTAATTCGCGACTTTTAGAGCCGACAGCAACATTTCGACACATTTGTCAGTTCTGATACACTCGAACATACTCTTGTACAACTAATTTAATCTGCATTAGGCATTACTAGGTTACTATGCCGACATTAGCTCCTCCCAAATATAAGGCATCAGTATATTATTATGCCGACTTCCGCTACCCTAGTTTACGCTCAGGGTAAACAGCAATACCAGAATTTTCAACAGCGTGCCCTCAATACTACCTCGTCCTTTCCACCCTCAGTAATTGGGATCAATAACCCACACTCCTTATCTAAACCACCCGCCACGCGTAAAGTCACCTATCTTACACCTAGAGTGCGCCCTCGCATCTCGACTCAGCGCGCCCTCTAGCACAACACTCAACCGCTTAAAATCAATAGGCTTAGAAAGCCATCCGTCGAATCCAGCGGCTTCCAATGATGCCTGTGAGTGTTGTTCTAGGCTAGCAGAGACAGCAAAGATTGGTACGCGCCCCGGAAAGGGAGGGTAATCCAGCTTCTGAGGATCACGCTGAGATGCGACGCCCTGAGGAAGAGTGGATGTGAGTGGGAGCTGTCCAGGATATGTAGACTGTGAAAATTGAGTAACTACCGTCACGGGATCAGAAGAGGGCGGAGAAGGTTCTGTCTGCGGTGCCATATGGAAGTAGCTTGTTTCTGTTGATGACCCGGATAGGTCCGCTATTCTAGGATTCGTCAGGGGAGGTGATGTAAGGAGGAAGGCAGCAGGTTTCGGGCGTGTCTCAGGCCTTGGGTGCACGCCTTCGTCTGATTTAGAGAGCGACCTTGGTTGTAGAGACGATTCTATCAATGAAGGTGACGAAGGTTCCAGAGCAGGCGATTTCTCGCTTTCGTCGGCGCGAATCATGCCAGTTGACTGAATACCATCAACAAGAGGCATCTGCACACCAGAGTTAGTAGAAGTCAACGGGGTGGGTGGTAGACAGTCCTACACACATTTATGTCCATCAAGATGAATTCTATCTCATGTCTATGCTTCTGGAAGGCCTCGAGGCACTGCTGTCCATCACGACTTGTCTTGACTTCATGTCCCATTATTTCCAGCCTTCGTTGCAGGATAGCCAGATTGATAGAGTTGTCATCTGCTACTAAAACTGTAATCTTCTCTTTGCGTGGTGTTTGATGTAGTGTTTGAATTTCTAGGTCTACATTTTCCGAAGATTCTGGCTCGGAAACGATTGGATTGTGATGGAAACGGATGCCCCCTGTGGTCGACCGCTCGTTTTGACGCCGGGAGGGGTCAAGGTGTAGTTGGAACATTGTCGGAGCATTTGATAATCCCATTGGGGGAATGCTCGAACGGTCTGGTGAACCTTCGCTACCCTTTTCTGGTCTGTCCTCGGATGATTCGCTTCGTGCAGATGAGCAAGAATGAGACTTGAGCGCTCCTTCCATCGCTAGTTTTAAAGGTACATCTAGTGAGAATGTAGAGCCCCTCCCTACGATTGACTGGCCACGGATTTGGCCCCCGGAATGCTTGACGTACCTCGCCAACAATGCGAGGCCTAGTCCTAATTTCGCCTCTTTCCTGTCTCTCGGGGGATCCTCATGGGTTTCGCTTAAATCAACATCTTCGTCAGGTACTTGCTCGAATTCCTGGAATAAGTCGTCCAGGTCCCTTTCAGACATGCCTCTTCCAGTGTCCTGGACTACAAATTGAACAACACAACTTTCCGTAGTAACTGATCGAGCTCCTAGGTGAACGACGATTCCTCCTTTATCTACATTCTTGATCGCGTTTGTAACAAGGCTCGTTACCCCCTGTTGGATTCTTTGAAGGTCGCCCCTGACAAAACGAGGGAGGTTCGTGTCAGTGATGACGTCAAAGGACAATGACTTCTGAACGGCATGCTTCTGCAGTTGGTCGAGAGTAACCTGTATATCTTTTGGGAGCTCAAAAGTCACATAAACCATAGGAAGAGGCTGTTGATTGCTACCACCAGTGAGATGAAGCAAGTCGTCGATAACCTTTGGGGATATAAGATTAGCGAATGTTCGAAAGGTGGTCGAGATTCGAGATAGCCGTCATATGCTAGCGCAGAATATGACATAGCAGTACTCTGTAGCAGATCTAAGAACTTGAAACCCGGCCATACGTACATAGATGAGCGACTTTGATGCAGAGTGAGATTGGGTCAAGAGTTCTTTCGTATCTTGGTCGAGGGGCTTTTCAAGGGCCAATTCCAAGTAATTTAGGACGGCGTTAAGGGGAGTCCGCACTAAAATGTGATGAGTGATACCTAGGTGGGTGGGATAAAGTCGCCTTACTTTCATGGGAGAGATTGAGTAAGAGTAAGCGTTTCATACGAGAATCATGGAGAGCAGCTTCTTTTTCCCTCCACACGCGGATAAAATTACCATAAACTAGCCTGGTCATAGCCGCAGCCTCGACTACGTCAATGATCAGTGTTTATATAAAGTGGGTTGCAATGAAGAGGCATACATTGCTCGTCGCTCCACGGCCTGCAAGTCCCTTTGATAATTTCGGTCCACTTCTTGAAGCTATTTCTTGGCTCCAATGCTCCTATCTTTGCCATGTTCGGATTCCCAGCCCAATTGACTTCTCTTATCTGGTTTTTTCTGAAGAAGACAATAAAGTCCCCAGCAACGTGGGAGAGTGGAATAAAGAGCAACCCAGCAATGTATTCGAACTCTGTCTCATATGCCAAGTCTGAGAAATCCTGGGTGATATTCTTGGTGGCAAAAGTGGTAGGAAAATTTCGAAAGTAGACGTATCTTAGTAGCGTTACGGCCTCTGAATAGGATGGTAGCTTCCCAATTGTACGAGCCTCGCCGTGGACGACGAGGAACCCAAAGTCAGCTTGGAACAATCGTAGAAGGTCGTCAGACGATGCAGAGATGCAGGCCTGAGGAGTCATATCGATCTGCATCACTGTCAAAGAATTCCTAGCGTTTAGTTTTTTGGCATTTAATAACTTATCAAGACAAGCGGAAGCGCACAGTCCAACCCAGTAACACAACTCACGAACCGGGAAAGACACTCTGAGTCCTCTTGGTCCGTACGAGTGACAGCAGATGAGGCCCCATAACTCATCCTCGAATTTCAACGAGACGCTCATTGTTGATCTCACAGCCATGTTCTCCAAGTATTTGAGGTGTACCGGGGACATGGCGCGAAGGTAAGAGTGTGTGAGGTCCAATGGCGAGCCGAGGTCTGAAATGTTTCGGCATATCAATCTACAAGGATTGCTTTCTCTATCGAAGAGAAGACGCACTCTATTGATTTTGTAGAGCTCCCGTGCTTGTTTTGGTATGTCGCTTGCAGGGAAATGGAGGCCCTTGTACACGTCTGAGCAAGCTTGTGGGTTGATGAGTTCCGCAACAACTGTGCCGTTGTAATCCTCATCGAAACGATAGACCATACACCGGTGAAAGCCAGTCAGCTCCTGGATGATACCCACGATGGCGTCTAAGAGATCTTGAATGTCATTCTTCATGGAAAGTTGTAGTTGGATCTGCGAGATGATGTTGACCACGTCCATGGTCCTGCCCTCTCCTTGAAACATGTCGACTGTGTCGACTGTTATATTGAGTGGTTCGCTCCGGCTGGAAAAGCTTGAGGCTGCATCTATTGGATCGGAATCCATGGTGTTGTACGGCGTTGAGGGAAGATTATCTAGCTCAGCCTGAATATTGCCCAAACTCTCCTGAAGCTCGAATTCGCATATGAGGAGATGGTGGTCTCCCCCAAGGAAGTGCATCGCACACCAAGCAGGGATGATATATCCACTTGGGTCTAGAAAACTGACACTGAAGACCTTTGGTTCGGCAGACTTTGTCGACTTCTTGAACAAGGCAATGACAGATTGAGCATGGCTCTGGAAGATTAGACGTTGATGCGCCGGAAAAACTAGGAGAAAATTGTCTAAATCGAATATTACACGAGGGGTGTATTTGCAAATGGTTTCTGAGTTCTCGCTCACCACACGGCAGAGATATCGAAGGGTAGTGTCGGGTCTTTCAACAACTTCGAGGCCGATGAGCATCCCGTGGGACTGAATGGCACCTGGAATGTGTATGGGCTCGTCCTCGCAGCGCGTAATATGAGTACGCTTTCCACTGACTATTCCATGGCCGGTCTCGTCGGAATAGGCGTACTCAGACCTACCGGCGTAGACGGGCTGCGGGCTTCCTTGTGGTGGCATTTCAAGGATCTCCTCCACGGAAATAGAGGGAGGCCATCTGTGCATCTCATCCTTGTCAGGATTGGCATGTTCGATGGGAAGTGAAGTGGTAGCAGGGGATGTGTTGGATGAGTCTGATCTCCCAGAATGTGAAGACTCGACCACCACAATCGACTGCTCATGCGTCTCTGAAAGGTTAGATGATCAGGTAAGCAGCCTCAGGGAAGGGAGTTTACGAGACCAGTATACTCACTTATAGGTGTGTTCTGGTTGTCACTCGAGAGGTTCTGGTTGTTGTTGAGGATTGTGCACCGGATAGGAAAGATTCGCTCCATGTGAGGCGAGTCGGCGCATGAAAGAGGGAAGACGGGCATACACTGGAGGGCTGACGGAGGGGCTGCTAAACACGGTGGCGACACAAGTGGCTGTGTGGAGGTCTATTGAGGGTCAAGAACCGTGTCCTTGGCGCCGATAGTGAAGCACAAGGCCGTATCGTGAACGGGCTTTTCCGCAGTTGGTGATGTGGCCCGTGCATAGGATTGGCTGGAATACCAAACACGATACTTATATTTATAAGCTAATTCCTAACAACCAGAGGTACCAAATTCCTTCTTAATCACGAAAACCCTAAACGGTCAGCTTCCGTACAAGGAGCGCGTTCGCATCTGGACCCCTAGAGAGGCAGGCTTTAGCAGAAGGAGATCTCTCAGAAGCTTAGGATACCTCTGTCTACAGTCTACAGTCGTATAATTGTTTTAACACGCCAGAGATGCCGACAAAGCTACAAGGTCGCGGTCCAAAGATCTGTACACCTCTATTAATTCTGCTCGTACGCCATGCGATAGAGAATGCAGAGCAGAAGCAGAAAACGCGTGAGTAGGTTGCTTATAAGCCAGGGATTAAAGCCTGTTAGCGTACGTTAATTAAGGCCTTTAAGAAAGAGCTATACTACAGACGCAAGGTAACAGAGAAGCCTTTTCCTACACCGCAGCACATAGACGATCAACAATTATAGGCGTGGGAGCATTTAAACTAGACTAATAAGCAGCGGGTTTGTGGAGACTGGTCTAACAAAGTGTCTGCCTATATAAACTATAGAGAGGTCTTTGTGATAAGGCGAGCAGAGAAGTTCCAACTAGACTGCTATGTACAAAAATTTAAAGGCTTCTTATCTTAGGTAGTCTAAGCAATTATCTCTCTTAGTACTAAAGGACTATTGCTGTTTGTTAAAAAGAATCCAGAGTAGAATAAGACCAAACTAAAATCTAAGGTGAATATCGCACATATGCTACCTATAGCAGTAGCAGTCTAAGATGCTCTTAGAACAAGGAGGCTATCCTTACTAAGGATAATCTATTAGTTCGCACCTCTAAGGTGACTGCTTAGGTAGAGTGGGAGCTAAGGATTATAAAGCCGTTGTAGCCTGCAAACTTACTAGATCTTAACCTAATTATAAATGTCTAGCAATTGCTCAAGTATCACGTATCTCTATTATTCACTGTACATCTTGCCAAGTCTTTTCTCTTATTGGTTTAAAAAAGCGCCGGATTAATGTCTAATTAGCCTATAAAACTTTCCACCACTTTTGCAAATATTCTAGATTTTTAAGGCAAATAAATATATTTTACTAGGTCTATTACTATATTCTAGGTGTTTTAATGCAATATTATAATGCTGTGTTCTGTTGTTGGTGGGCTAAAGTTTGCCCCTTTGTTACTGTTCACAGTTTTAAGGTGTCGCCAAGCCGGAATCGGTATGTCGGCGTCTGTCTTCCGAATGTCAAACCTGACTTTGCAACTGACCGACGCGGTGCTCCGTATGAACATTGTCGGCGGCACAGGAGATTTGTTTGTCTATATCGCTATTCTTCCTTTGTTATTGCTAAATTTTCCTCATCCAAGCTTCCGAAAAGGAAGGCTCATACCTGCTCGTATAGAAGCAGTATCTATGTGAGAGGTATCGAGCAGGAAGCACAAGGCACAGAGAGGGGATGCAGGATAGAGGGTATATGGCAGAGCTACAAGAGAGAGAGAGAGAGTAAACCTTAGGGTCAGAGGCAGAGGTATGGAGGCCGAAGAACCGATATACCCCGTGCCAAGCCTTTAGGGTACTCAGGGGTTGGACATAACAGTGACAATCTACACACCCAGGCAGAGCTACGTTAGTATCTAACAGAGGAGTGGAAGAAAATCAGCATTAACAACTACTTAGAGTACATTAAGAACACAAGTGAGCGCCGCTGGGCAGTTATCTAGGCAGGTAGTGGTCACATAAAATGGTGATTGGTGTTATTTTGTATGTAAAATTCGGCGGTTGATTATCTAACAAAATCTTGGGAAAACTAGCGGAGCGGCCGGTTCAGGGAGCCCCTTGTAGGCCCTGCTTGGAATCAGGCCACTTGGGTAAGCTTAGCTCCGACTGAGCGTTCCGCAAGTGGAGCGTTGCTGGTGTTCCGTAGTTGAGGATTGGTGGACGAAATGGTAAGAACCTGACACGTTAGACAGAATGATACAAGGAGATGCAAGAATGGGTTGACAATGGAGAATATCAAAGTTTCACTCCAGTAGAACCCTCCCTGTTTCGCACAAGACTAGCTCATACATCCTGTGCCTCAATTCCGGTGGCAACCAACCAAACAGCCGTGACTGGCTCTCTACTCCTTCATTGTGTGCTTTCCATTTCTATCGACAGAAGGGCTCCACTTGCGATTCCGGACTGCGCGGACCTGTCACTGGAATCGAATTGTGCGCAGCTCCTAGTTCCTTTCGATACGTTTACGCGTGCCCCGAGACAGACAGGCACATGGTTAGCAATAGAGACTACCACATAGGCACAGCTGTAAGGTAGGTCAGGTAAAGATTCTCAGCCAATTTTAATCCCTGGGTGAGAGTACCAGAAGAACGTGATGTCTTCCCTAACGAACGACATCGTGTCGGATAACAAGCCGCGAATGAAGGGTATCGGTAGGGCCCGCATTTATTTACAGACCGCCGAAGCAGAGACAATCTGACGGTGGTTGAAGGGGAGAGACGAAGTACATGGGGGTTAAATGTGTTTAAAGACAGATTATTTTAGAAGGATCGGGGCAGCTGTCGATTCGTCATGGGCTCAATCCTCACCGAACAATGATTTATTGTTCGCAGCTTTAGTTCTTATCCAAATGCATTGTAGCATTGCCTACCGTCATTCGGAAACACCTTGACCGCCGAGGTATTTCAGCAACGGACTCTGAGCTAGCCCCTCGTTGCAAGTCTCTGGCGCCCAACCGATGAGGACCTAGTCCGCAGAAAGTTAGCCTCTCTTATATCCCTACCCTTGCAGTCCAGCCACCGTCTCAGCCTCACTCTCAGCCTCACTCTCAGCAGCCTCGAGGCGGAAGCCGAAATGAGGTTTTCTCGCGCTTCCTGTATGCGAATTGCGCACTTCGATCGTTTCACTAGCCAAAGAAAAGCTCGTAATGGCGTCGAGAAAGTCGAGCCCTCCTGACTCCCTCATCCCCCTCGCCCACGCGCTCGGTTACTCAGACTACCCACACAGTAACACCGCCTCGCCGTATCTGAATTATATCTTAAACCAGCACATTGCACGAACGACGCTGGAAGAATACCTGTCTCTATTTCAACGAATCATAGCGCATTTCTCAATCCCCGATGTGCTAGAAGACGGGCGGCCACAGCGTGATAGCATACAAGTGCTTCTCGACGAGTTGGTCGCCTCCAATGGCCAAGGCCTATTCATCGATACACCAGCGGGAAGTGTAATACGGAAGGAGGATGTTGAGGATACTGTGCTTTATATCTTGGGTGTGTGGACCATGATGTTGAGCTCCTTTGTTCGGTTGCCGAACGGGTTCAGGAAGGTCATTGTGGCGTACAATCATCGAGCGCAGAGAAAGGTGACCGGGGATCACGTGTATGAAGATAGCCTGGCAGGATTGATACGCGGTAGTGGGCTTCTTCCTTCGCCGGGTAATTGGAGCCATGTTGAGCGCCCTGAGAACGACGTCGTGCGTGCAGCAATGAGCCTGGTTGCTTTGATATCCAGCAAAACCCCTCCAGGGCGCAGCTCCCCGGACACCTCCAGAAGTCCCTCGACCTCTTCTCTGTTCGAAGAATATGAGTCAACATTATGGCAAGGTCAAATAACCTCCCAATCACTGGACGACATGGACTCGCTAGAGTCCTTGGAAATCAAAGCTACTCGTCTCAATGCCTTTACATTGAACGTATTAGGGGCCGTGGAGATTTCCTGGACCTTCAATTTATCCCGACACTTGGTGTTATCTAAGCACAGGGGACGCTATGGGTTGGAAATTTTTGCTCTCCCGTGCGTGTTCGCTGCTACAACCCTAACCTCAGCTACTGTTGGCATAGCTCCAGAGCTCGCGCAAGAGATTCAAGAATCATATCGCATACTCTTTAATGCATGGCCCAATCCTCCTCTGCATGCAAAACTCGGTACCCTTCTTGGTGTTCGCAAAATCTGCTGGTGTTGGTCATGCTCTGCCTACCGGTATCGAAATCGTACGCTATCGACCCTCAAGAAGAAGTTCAGCTTCAACTCGAGAAGGACAACTCAGAATCGCGACGTTATGGCTAAGAGTGAATTCGATCCATTGCTCATTGAACTCATGTCTGGTAACTCAACCTCTAATTGGACATATGATCTCTTCCCATGCCTTTGGCCGAGAATCACGATGTTGGAGGATCATCTCCAGCGAGCTAAGCCGTGGAACATATGGATTCTGTTCCGAGACCGGAGGGACACTCTCCAGTTCTGGACTTTTTTGTAAGTATAATTTTGGCCTGGATATATAGTATCAGTGCTGACTGCGTCCAGTTTCGCTACAGTCGTGGTCATGTTGACATTCTTTCAAGTTGCCCTGGGAATCGCCCAGGTCGTGGGATCCTTTTTGTGAAGTCATAGAGGCAGGCCCTTTATCCCCACCCAGGTTCTGCACTCGCGCCAGCATTGTCTACCTCGGCCAACTATGTAAAGAGTCGAACCCGCCGAAATGATACGTCAAGCTATCACCTCATCCAGCCCTCGTGCTTCCCACTCGTCTTGCGCTTCCTGCTGTTCCAATTTAATCCTTTCCTTCGCCAACGCCAATTCTGCTTCCTCAATTATTCCCTCCTCCCATTCGAATACAGCCTCGGACTCCGCTTGCCTAAAGTTAGGGGTACAAAGTTAGCACAGTTCTTTAAAGTAAAAGGGTCTAGCACTACTACCACTTCAGTCTGTAGCAGTTTTTGAAATACCACTTAAGTAGCATTACAGACTTTGCAACATACTGCGGAATTTACGTACCTGAAATGTTCTACCCGGTCGAGAGGATCCATAAACTCAGGCAGTGGTGGGATGGCATCCAGACAGACATGGGGTTCAAGGTCCAATTCTACCAGGTCTACTACATCGCCGATATCCACGACCGTAGAAATGTCTCTGATGTACTGATCCGTTTTGATGGAAGGCGAGGCGTTGCCATTCCAGCACCACTCTACTCTCTCATCACACCACACTCTCACGTCTGGCCTCTCTCCCCCCCCAGCGTCGTAACCTCCTCAAAAACTCCCCCAAGTTCAAGAGTTTTCAGCCTCGTCCACCCCACACTCAACGTCGGGCCTAGAAAATGGCGAAAACGCTCGTCCATGGGCATAATCTTCTGCCTGATAATGCTCAGGACCTGCCCCCATGGACTCCCATACCACTTTGGCCGCACTCTATTCCAAGGAGATAGCGTCGAACGCCCATGTTCGAGTCTCAAATGCCGGGGTTGCACGGCCACTACAAAAGCTGCCCATTCTTCGTACACCTTCTCATCCAGCGTGAGCTCCGAGGGTCTTTCCTGCTGCACATGCTCCTGTCCCTGCTTCTTCAAAAATAAGTGATCAAGATTCGTACATCTTGCCTGCAAATCTGACGAATCGAGAAGACCGTAGATACAGCATGGTGTGTTTTTTTCGGTTCTGGCTTCGGATGGAGTGGGTTTGGGCACGGCTCATCATCCTTGTAATATAGCCCCTCAATCAAATTATACAGTGTCAAAGACGATACCCTTGCTTTATTTTCTCCATGCAGAATCGCAGACGCGAGACCCCAGCCCATAATCCCTCCCAACCTGATATTCGTCGTTTGTGGGAAGAAGGTCATTCCCAATGGAAGGGGAAACTTACTTGACGGACGATTCATACTCCCGCCATCGATGTCCACATTCGTAACGTTCTCCATAGCTCCAAACATGTGGAAAGAGTGCTGAGCGTGAAGCACCTGGTCGTCTGAGCACATGTCCCTTACGTAGTGCCATATGTCCAACGTCCACGTGAGTCTCCGCACATGTCTCGCATATTCCGGCGTTCTAATCAGTTGTCTAATAAATCGACTGTGCTTTCTCGCTATGTCTTCAGGCCGCCAGTAGGCCCAGTGATACACGAATTGGGTGAAATGATGTACTTGGTACACTTCTGCCGAGGTTTCGAGTGGCATTTTGTAGTGATGAAGCCCGATGTCCACGTCTCGGTATAGAAGCGAGAGACTGAGCTCATGGAAAAGTTTGCTGGTAGGGGACATTGTTTTTAGGAGAGTAGATAAAGGTAGGTAAGATAGAATGTGCAACCAGACTTCTTTGGGGAGGGTGTCTGCGATGAGGATCCCGGGACTGGGTATTCCAGGGCGGAACACAGTGGTTGCATTTTGAACAGGTATCTGTTTTCCAGTGGTGCTATTCTGGGAAGTCGGTGCGCATGAGGGTCGAATGCAATACTTTCGGTATCGAGGCTTTGTGGTGAGTATGGTTTCACACGCGCTCTCAAGGTTCTTCTAGGCTTGCCTAAGAACTGAGTTCTGCCCAGTCTCCATCCCCGCCAAACAAGCCAATGGGGCGTCAACTTCGAGTTTTAGAATGCGGGCTGGGAGTACACCAATGTTCACACGAATCTAATTCAACGACCCTAAGTATGCCCCAAATTCCAGTAGCTAAGCGTCAAGCAATTGTGTGCGCTTTCCTCAACTCATCCGGGACCTGGAATGCTCCATAGAATGCAACTCTCCCTAACTTCAACCTTCTCTCTAGTGCACCACCTTCCATTTTGAAGTTCTGCACGTGTCCAGATCTCTGCACGAACGACTGAAACCCAACAATACCAGGACCGGTCGTGCCGTCTTCACGAAGACCGTCAGCATAAAGCGCAATACCACTGTGTCCATTTGGGGTATCGAAGTCTTTGTGCACTCTGTAGAGAAGACATCGAGACACGAAATCCTTCCAGACGCCGATGTCGTGTCCACGACTTGGTTTTACGGAGGCAGTTTGGTTGAGGAAAATGCCTTCACCGACAACCTGAATTCAAATCAGCATTAATCTCTAGTAGAGGGGAGGCCATGGAATGCATACCAGTACCTCTGAGGGACGATTTGTCTTGAGCGTTTTTGCTTCATTCTCCGTGTCCCCAAGGAACTTAACAGTGCTGCTTTGCTGTCGAAGACCATTCCACGCTTCTCTTGATAGCCATCCAATGTCAGGAATAGGCGATTTTATGTCCTTCACAGCAGCTGGATTAGTAGGTTTGATAAGTGTGATATCATGTATGAAGCCATTAGGATACACTTTGGCTTTAGTATCGAAGGATTTGTCCACTGTACCAAACTGCTCGTTCCATTAAGATAAGTTCCCTCAAATATTTGCTCTCAGATACATACCAGCTCATTGCCAGCCCAAATCTCAACGTGTTCATTCCAATCGCTTTCGAGATTTTCGTAGGAATTACGCTTCCTGCTAAAGATCGATAGCCGATTTGACTTGGATAGTATTGCTTCGGTGATGACATGTGTCGACATAACAAGATAGGATTCGCTGCCTGTACTCGTCCTCAGTCCAATACGGCCAGAAAATCTACCCTCTTTTAGGGTGGATTTCGTCCGGGCTTCGATGAAATCATTGAGGCGATGGGTTTGAACAAGCAATGAACTCGAAGGCCGGAAAAGTCCGAGTCTGCTCGATAGCCCCGAGCCCTGTGAGCTTTTCGAGTTGATAATTTCGGTTTTAGAAGGAGTCATCGTGGGGATCATGCATTGCGGGATGTAGCAAATTCGAAGACCACCATATTTGTGTGGTAGATGCGAAGAAGCCCATTCAGTGTCGAACTCCTTAGGGACGATAATCTGAAGAAGTCCGTTAATAAGAACATAGAAGCCCATGCTTCCCTGAAAAGTGAGGAAGAGATCCCGAACCACTTCGAGCGGAAGTTCAGCCGTGCAGTCGATTGGAGTAGACGGTCGCGGATCAGGGGGAGGATTAACCCCAGCAATTGGAGGCCAGCGATGTTCTACAGGAATGACAACTGGAGCTCCAGCAATGGTAAGTGGAAAGTCTCTCGGATCATCATCATTCATCGGTGTGCATGTCCAGCATCCAACAGCTTGGCCAGATGTGTTAGGAATACTGTGGTAGTCAACATCCCACATCCAAGAATCTGGCAACTGGGTCTGAATATCCTTCCAACTTTCGCTTTCAAGACTCATATGCTGACTAAATAGGTGAGCATCCTGAGATTCAGAGTTGGAAAGCTGTTCAGCTCTGCGTGGTGTAGGCACCTCGAAACCCACATTACTTTGCAACTTATCTTCCACGACCCCTTGTTGCATACCAACGGCGCGTTTTTGAGAGACATGCGATTGAGCCTGGGTAAAAGTCCGCGTGGACGCGATAGAATCCCCAGCTATCGCAGTCTTAGAGAGCTCTGATTGGGTTGATGAGGGAATAGCCACTCCCTCAGGAATGTGCGGCTCGGGAAGCTCCTCGAGCCTCTTTCGAATTCCATCTACTTCCTCTCGCATCTGTACATTCTCGGCTAGAACATTTGTAGAAGCCGGTTCTAAATTCACCATATCTGCCTCGAGGTCCTGGAGAGATCTCGCTTTACGGTCCTCGAAAGCTTTTAGAGTAGCGTTATTCGGGCCCTTCCATTGCTCTGATAGATGCTTTGGGGGGTCCTCTCCCGAGGACTCTACCGGCAGATCCCATGAGTCCTCGTCTGACTCTTCCGCGACTGTTCCTAGGTCGTCGAATCGTACTTTACTTCTTTCCTCATCGGAGAGTGTGTGCAAATCTGTATCGTCGGTATCGCTGCCAATGCTGGTGGTCCCGCTGACACTTCCTCTAGAGGCAGGCTTGAGGTAGATGTTACCGCGGTTGAGGGTAGGAATGTTCCATGAGTGGCTGGTAGATTTTACCATGCTACGCGGTTGTCCTTGCGGGTTAGGCCTTTGTAAGATGTTGAACGGTCCAAGTGCAGCATCCAAATCAATCACAGGATTTATCGAGTCTGATTCAACTAGTCCAAGCCCCCGGAGCATGGCTGTGCCTGTGGCCATTTCTCCAGTGGCCGGCCTATGATCTGGTGTTCCGTCCTTTGTAAGTGGGCCTGATCGTCGTAGCTGCCATAGAAGTTCCTGTAGCATGAGTAAGGTGTGGTATGAATCCTCATTTAGGACCCCTAGTTTCGTATAATGTTCAGGGGAACAATTGAGACTCTCGTAAAGTCCCTTTAGGGCGCGGCAACTCTGAGAGTATGTGTGCCAAAATTGAGGAGCAGGAGATAAAGGGTAAGCTTTTCTATCTGCCTCTTGGACAATCTCGAGGACAGAATTTGAGATTCGCTTCAAGTACTTGTTTAAGTGCTGGCGGTTGCGACCTTGACAACATTAGCTGATGACTTTCAGCGATAGTATTCGATGACTGACATTCTTGGCATATAGTGTTCGCAACGCTGGATAGTGTTATGATGTCGGTATGAGATATAGTAGCATTTTCCCCACTAGAGGGAGCTTCACTTTCCCAATTTTCTGTCATCACATCAAGCCATGGCTTGATCTCCTCTAGCTTCAATGTGGATGTATGCTCTAACCTGCGGACTGGAATACCCCGTCGTGTAAAAGGAGGGGTGGCTAGGCTGTGGCCCGGGACTGTAGCCTCTAGGGGCTCGGACTCAACTGGTGTTTGGCGAGTGCCTTGTTTTGAAGTTAAAGTTGAGTCAGTGTCTTTGAAGCGATCATATTTTGGAGCTTTATTCTCTTGAATGGCAGTAAATTCCTCTTCGAGCAAGGCCTTCACATGTGGAGTTTGAGGGTTCCGTAGATGACCGGGTATAACACTATGGCCTCGATTCCGAAATTCACTTTCCGGCTCTGTTGGAGCTCCTAATATTTCCAAGATCCGGCTATCCTGCTTGGGGTTGACTGTGCGCTCATGACTCGTATTAGAATGGTTCGTCTCTAATTTCATCCACGCAGATTCAATCCCACCATCATCCTCGAGTGACGACCTTCGACTAGTCGCGGCCTGAGATTCACCTAGATTTTCACTATGAGGATTTCCTTCTAGATCAAAGGTTGGGGGCCTAATGATCATTCCATCTGAAGACGTCTCACCTAAATAATACTCTGCAGCTGCTAAAGACCAACCTATGACGTTGGATATGTAGTTCTCTTTCGGCTGCCCCACCTCGCTTTGATCCTCAGTGGTATCATCTGCATTCAATATAGAAGAAGTGACTGCGTGAGTTTCGCCTTCTTCGGCATTCACGGGGACGAATAATGTGCGGAGCGTTGGTGTGGACGCGCCGGACACTGTTCCTTCCACAGAAAACTCTTGGGCTAAGGATCCGATTAGGGACGGAGTTGCCACTGAGAGTTGATCCGACGGCATAATTGTGCTGATAGAGGCAGACACAGATGGAGAATTGGATGCAGTGGAAGTATCAGTGGACGACTGGCGATACAGGGGTGATGACGAGGTGTGTGCAGATGTATTGCAGCTATCTTGCTCGTTTGGAGGCTTGTCAAAGCTGGGGTGCAATGACACGACGTGATCTTCCAGATTAGGGTGGGGCTCGAAGACCTGGTTTACTTCGATAGAAACAGGAGAACGGGGTTTCAACGTCTCGGTATCCAAGATAGCATATCCTTCTTTGCCTTCTGTCCTAGATTTCAACTGCATTTGGTTCAGGATTGAAGATGCACCATTATCGGATACACTATTCTTCCGCCGCCTAAAGAAAAATGGACTATATTCAGCCGTCGAAGTCTGCATATGTTGCAGTAACTCCAACCCTTCCTTCGTCTCGCTTCTGTATTCTTCATGTTTGGAGCTTTCATTTCCCAATGCAAGAATTTCGGAGGATGGATTCGGCCGCACTTTGGATACATTGGAAGGATCCTGCGGCGTAGGGGCACTATCCTTCGGCTTTCGAGTGTGTTCTCCAGATGTAAAACCATCACCAAGGGTCCCTACCGAATAGTCCTGGGATTCCGGATATCCAACGGATCGTAGACGAGCATTCTCCATTGCTAACCTTGTATTAGCCATTATCAGACGTGAGTTCTCCGTTTCGAGCTTCTTGTTCTCTTCCCGAAGTTCCGTTAGCTGGCTTTGCAAATCCTGTACCTGTTTGATTGAAGACATTCGACGATTTGTCTCCTTGGTAAACTGGCATTTAGAATTCCTACTAGAGCATTCGGAACAAGACGTAGTCTCGGTAGCATCGCACTTAACTTTGCGCTCCCTGCAAGCATCACAACTGGGGTCCTTTCTCCTCAGACGATACGCCCGTTTCTGGGAGTTGAGAAGTGACTCAGAGGTCCCATATGGCGCGGTAAACGGTGGTAGACGAGTACCGGGGTGTGGAAATGCCATGCGTTTTCTTTCGCCCAGAAGGGAGGATATCCCTGAGTCCCCAATAGGCAAAGTGCTAGGCGATACTAGACTTGGAGCCTTAGAAGGTAGAGGTGGGGATATCCGGGATGCCATATTCTTCTCGCTTTGGTTCATAGCATCAAAGTTTTGCAGGCCTAAAGTGACGATATCGGCCATTCCATCCCCGGCATCTTCTAGCCGGATGTTGCGAGAATCGGTAACTTCACTCAAGTGAAGGCTAGTGCCATCAGAAGGTTCGGGTAGGCGCAGGCGGGCGTCATCATTTGTGCTCTTCAATGTTAAGTTTCTGGGCCCCCTAAATTTCCCCCCTTCTTTGACAGGTGCTTCGACAGATTTTCGTTGCGGTGTTTCTGGCAGAGTTGAGGCAGGTGGAGCTAATTGAATTCTAGAAGACTTTGAAACTGGAGAAGTCGCAGCAGCCAGGACATAGTCCCTTGGAAACCATCCCGCCTTTGATGACTTGAGATTGCGTCCGTAACACCACCCACTGTCTTCTTCATGATATACAACGATATCATCATCCTTGCGAAAATCCAAGTGGTCTTGGTCATCATCAACATAATCGTAGAGAGCTTTTACAAGGAAACCCTCTCCCAAGTCTTTGGTTCTTTCAGGCTCGATGGGTGCAGGACCCTCTGATAAGACGAAATCTGAAATGTTTGAGTCTGTGAACACTCTTGGAATATATGCGTTATCAACGACAAAGTCAAGGGCTGGAGAGGAATAGTAAGATTCCATCTCAAAAGTAAAGAAGAATGAGGGAGAGCGACTCTGCTTCGCTCAATCTGCCGTTAAAAGGTTGTCATCTGTTGAGCGTAGAGTAGGTGGAGGGCCGTGTGACTGAAATGAAGATCAACGAAGCAACAATAATCAGTATCGCTAAAAATTTGATAAAATATAAAGGGGTTGAAATCTTTTTGAACTTGATCAAAGCAAATCGGTGCGCACGAACGAATGTGGAAAGAGAAAAGGTTGCGAAGCACGAGCGGGAACGCTGAAGTTGAAGTTGTTGTGGCGCAGTCACAACGCCTCAGCAGCCGTCGAAGATCCGGGCGTCCAATCACGTGTGAGGCAAGCGAGGAAATAGGAGAGTTCCCGGTGCCTTTGTCATTAATTCTTGAATCATGATATATACAATAGTGTGTATTTAAGAAGGGTCTTACCTTAGACACATTGCTAGAGTGAAGGAGTGTGATGAGAGGATGCAGCTAGACTTTGTTCTTCTGAATAAACATTGAACTTCCTGACTCATACATAGATGCATGATTCACGCACATCCACACAAAGTAGTTATCGTACCTAGCAAAGATGAAAGAGAAGATCGCCATGTTTGAAGTCTGGAGCAGTATACTACATGCCATCCCTACCCAGGTATCACCCATGAAGAGACCCGCGCCGTAAACTCCATATCCATTTACCGTCGCCATTGCCATGCAGCAAGACCTTGCTATGTTTTACAGATGAGCGATGGTAAGAGTCAGAATCGACGTCCTCCCATCGTCAATAGAAGCCCAGGAAACGTTGCCGTTAGAAGGGAGAGTGTCTTTAAAGAGCCAGGGGAACTAGTCCTCGCGTCGAAGTTCAATCGTCTCTGCTGTCCCGTCAACGAGACCGCTGAAATATTATAAAACCTTAGTAATCAACGAATTACTAACGTCTTAACAACGTTGCAATCAAGGTTATGTAGCTCAACCGGGAACTTGCATTCGCTGCCGAAGATGCAGGTTTTTGCGCCTTTAACAGGGTTCTTAGCTTCCGGGGCAGGACAACGATGACCATAAATGCACTTAACGTCTTGACAAGCACTACCATTTATGCAGGGGGCCATCCGCGCAACCAGCCGTAGGACGGCAATCTCAGCATTTGAAGGACAATAATCGTGCTTATGAGTGCAATTGGTACCGTATGGACACTCCCGCCGGAGAAAATGGACATTGCACAGTTTTATCTTCTTCACCCTGTCCACTTCGGCCTTGTCATAGTCTCGGCATGGAGGGTCAACTCGTTGGCCAGAACGATTGCGAGCGATGACCTCCTCGCGGTTGGTAGGTTTATATACCGGAGATTCCGCAGTTGGAGGTGGTGGCGCAGCGGCTTTGGCAGCCCAGTTCATTACCGGAATATTCTTTGATTCGATGCCTGCATCATTCTCGCCGAGCGTAGAGCTAGAAGGGGTGTGTTGTAAGCTTGGCGCAATGCGTCCCATCGTCGGAGTCTGGGGTGCACTACTCTGTCGAATAGGTGCCGGGAATCGAGACGGAAGTCCAGCAAATGCCGGATAAACCTTGGCACTCGTCGGCGGGTAACCTCCATTAGCTCCATTAGCTCCATTGAGACCGTTGGTGCCTGGAGCCATGGTTGGAAGGGCGCCCCAGAGCTGAAGCTTGAAGTCGCGAAATATGCCGGGGAACTTCTTCGTCTTGAACGGTAACATGAGTAGCTCTTTCTCGAACGGGACCCCTTCCATAAGGGTAATTTTCTCTAGGTAGTGCTCTTCCGTACAAAGGTCTTCAAGGACACGTGCGTATCCATTATCGTGGGAGCAACCGAAAAAGATGTGGCGACAGTGAAAATCATTAACATAAAGCTTGAAAGTTCCTAGGTGAAGGTTAGATGCAGTTCCAGAATGAGGAGTGATGTTACTAGTACATACCAATCAGTTTTTCATCAGCTCGATCTTTCCCTGGTCCTACGTCCACAAAATCAAAGAGTGTCTTGCCACGAGTGAACCCGAGCGCAAAGCTATGGTACGGTGAAACCTCCTCAATGACACCGCATCGGACGAGGACTTCAGCAAGGCCACTCACGTTAGCGTAAATTCGACAAACGACCCTGAATTCGGTGGGGACATTTTGTAGCTCTCGCTGGACGTATTGTGTGATGGAAGAGTAGAGCTTTGCCGCGGCCTGTCGTCCGCCAGCTTCACCAGCTCGAATGAATTCGTCCAGGAACTGGAGGATTTGTAAGCATGGTCTGAGGCAATATTGGGAAGGTGACTCCAACAATCATTCCGTCGCCGTCGATCAAAACGAGAACGAAAGGGTCGCGATCCTGTTACACATTAGTGCTAAAAAGAGAGGAGGGCTCGTGGCTGTGCAACGTACAACACAGTGACTTAAAGCCTGGTTATGTTGCTTCAGCTGTTCAAATTTGTGATGAAATTCGCGGTAACTCTGGCGCTCGCGTGCATTTTGCTCTAGCTCGGTTTTGTACTGCTCGCTAAGAAATTGGTAGCGCAGAAGGAGTTCCTGCCTGTTGTCAGTTGCAGCGCCGGGTTTGCAATTCTGGCGGGAAGGTACCCGGAGCAGTTCTGTTTTCTCGATGTCATGCCGGACGACTTGCTCGACTCGAGCCTCGAGCAAGGTTGAGGAGCTGTCGTTGATCAGGCCTCCGTTACCGTTGACGCCATTCAGTAGGCTAAGATGGGCAATTGTCCCGTTCATCACGGTTGAGGACTCGTTGGATGAGAATCCGTTGGTGAACGCGGAAGCAGGTGACATGGTGTCAAGTGCGCAGATTAAAAGACGTCTGTTGGATGTGCTGTGGCTCCAAGGGTTGCGCGTTGTGGTTAGTGTGCTGGAGATAGGGAAGAAAATTAGAGGGAGAGATGGCAAACTTTTAGGCTTCGCACATTTAGGTGTCGCACAGAGAGTGATACGAAGTGATTGCGGGCTTTTTTTTCTTCACTGCAGCTGAGGGCTGGGTGAGTATTGTATGTCAGTGTGGGTGAAAAAAGTTGGGCAACCGAGCGGCCAAACAGTACCACAGCACAGGTAGGCGCCTTGTGGGTGGCGCGCCAGTGGACTGCAGAGCGAGCGGTGAGCTGTTTCAAAACAACTGGGTGGTGTCCGCAGAAAACCAGCGAGCGGAATGCGGTGCGAAAATTCTTTGTCGCGGAAGCGCGTCTGCGTGCGAGAGGGGTGAGGAAGTGGTGAAGAAGTGAATGGTCATAGTCAGCTAGACCTGTTCGGGACTAGCTTGTGCGGTGGAGGATTGGACTCGAGCGAGACCGAAATCCAGGGTTAAAGCCACGTTCGAATTGTTGCGGCTCCAGAACCTTCACTTCCACCGCATCCGCTCTGCCTAGTCTCTCCTCCATCGCACCGTCGCACTCCTCGTCTTCCCACCATGGTTTCCTGGAAGCTTTCCACGCTGCTGCTGCTCTCCCTGACAGCCCTCAATGCATTCGCCCAAGTCGACGTAAGAGTCCTTGGTTCCTTCCCCATGACATCAATGCACCTACCACTACTAACTCCCCGTGCCCCAGGCCGAAATTGTCGAGGAAGTCGCCGAGGAGCCGCAGACGCCCAACTTGAAGGTCTCCATCTCGACTAGTTTCCCGCAAGCTGAGATCTTTGGCGTAAAGCTCATTAACGGCCACGCCACCCAGGCCGTCCTCTCCATCTCCAATTCTGAGCCCGAGCCAGTCAGCCTCTCTATCATCGGTGGTTCTCTCATACAAGATGCAGGTGACGAATCTCAAATCATGCGCAACCTCACCGCGGCGCGCTATGCGACTGAGATCCCCGCCGGCGAGGAGACGACCGTTACCTATACCTTCAGCACCGAGATGCATCCCCAGGATGTGCGTCTGCAGCTGGTCGCTGTGTTGAAGGACAGTAAGGATGCTTTCTACACGCTCTCGGCGTACAACGAGACCGTGGCCGTTGTGGAAGCGCCGACTAGCATCTTGGACCCGCAAATGTACGTGTCCTCCCGTTCCCCTTGACCGTTTCCCCCGTCTCCCCTCTTCGCCCTACGGCTGTTACTGTTCCTGGTAGCTAATTCGTCATCCTTCCTGCAGCATCTTCCTGTACCTCGTCCTCCTCTCAGCCTTTGGTGGCACCGTTTACTTCATTTACAACACTTGGATCACAACACTCTTCCCGCAGAAGCGCCGCGGTGGCAAGGGCGGCGAGCGCGTCAAACGCTCTTCGACCGGATCCAAGAAAGTCGATCCATCTGACCAGGCAGCAGTTGTTGGCGCCGATGGCTCCGCTGTCACCACGGGTGCAAAGATATACGACGAGAGCTGGATCCCTGCTCAGCATCTGCAGAGGCCCGAGGCCAAGCGCGTGAGGAGTGGAACCCCAAAGACGAAGGTCAAAAGCTAGATTCTAGCTTGGCTTGAGCCAGTCGATTTGCCAGGTTGCGGCATAGCAAGGTGTTGTTGTAGTTGATGTAGCGAGTGGAAGGGATATTCATTTGCGGGCTGCATGCATCATTTGGGATTAAACATCTAAAATGTACTCTATGATGACACCCAAAAGTTTGCCGGTTTGTATAATTAGTAGGGAATAAAATGGAGTTTGTCAATGGACATTATTGTCTATTATCTACAATATACTACCGCCTACTACTGCAGCCTTTCCAGGAAGCATTTACCACCAGCTATGACCACCCTCTCTACTCTTTCTTCCAAGCGTCAAACTCGCCCTCTAAATGATGCTTCAACGCCTTAAACTTATTCCCGAAATTGCGTCCACAGCGCCAGCACTTCATCTCCCAGCTCGGCCAGTCCCCGGGATGAAACCTCAGGCTGTCTTCCTCGAGCGGGAAGTCGTCTAGCGAGACAAAGAATGTGGAATTAAAGGAGAGATAGTGCTTTTTGTGTTTTAGACATGGCGAATGCATGTCCACAGAGATCACGTGGATGTGTAGATGCGACATAGACGGGTGTGTGTGCACCCCAGCGATCACCGAACGCGACCAATCGCGCCCTTGGGGAAGGACGGCGGCGCGCTGGTCTGGGGAAGGGGGGTTGGGAGAGGACATCATATCTTCGAGAGCGAGTTGGTAGGGAGCGTCTGACGCACTGTATTTCCCATATTGCCGGCGTAATTCATTCGCGACGGTTATTTTCAGCTTCTCGACGCGTGACCGAACGGAGGCGAGGAAGGTGGGGTTGCTAGAGAGGGCATGTAGTGGATGCTGGGAGGAAAGTGCGGGGGAGCGCGGGAGGAGAAGGAGATGCACACTAGCAAAATAGTCAGTCGAGTCCGTATGGGAAAGTAGGTCAAGTGGGAGATGTACCTAGCTTTCGGATACAGATCGTTGATCACCACAAACTCGTCATCATACTCGACAACGCGATTCGGCGGAAGCGATTCCGGGCTCTCGAGATACGCACCCAATCCACTGCGATCTCGGAAGATGTTGTATACCTTCGAGGCCATACCCTTTGAAGGCGGGGAGGTGTACTGTTTCGTTTTCTTGGACGCCATGAGTTCTGTGACTGGTGAGTTTAGGCTGCGGTTTCTGAGCGGTGAATTGAGAGACATACAGGCGTTGGGCCGTTTCTGCGCCAGTGGCCCGGGAGATTCGAGGTCACTGTGAGGGCCCCCAGCACCCGTGATCTCTTCGGCGGTGATGACAACATGCTCGTCAGTGCTGTGTGAGGAAGGCATGGCGGGCTGCTCCTTCCTTCGTGGAGAGGAGGAGTGGAGTGCTCTGGAATCAGTCATACTTGGTCTCACAAATACTACGCCCAATCGCGGGAAGATGTTCGCGTGAAAGCCCCTGCTAAGCATGAAGTGAAGGTTAAGATTTCAGTAAAAGCCAAAGGCAACAAATATCGCCCTCGTTACGCCGGTGAGCTTGGACCACGAGCTTATTTCAGCCCTGTCGGGATTGCCCCGGACCCACTTGAACTTCCATCGACAAAATCTTGTCAACAAATTTCTCTTAAATACCCCTCAATGGAGCCGACGCCCCCGCACAAACACCCAACGTCCCTTGCCGAGGATGCCCAAAAATCCTCCCCCTCGGCGTGGCGGAGCCCCGAAGAAGCCAGTCCCGCCCGAAGAAGATGGCAGCTTCATCATCTTCGGCAACGGCAAGGATAAGAAGGGAAAGGGAAAGGCCACGGCTGGGGAAGCCGAAGAAGGCCCCAAAAGACCAGACACCAGGTCGTTGATCGGAGGCGCATCATGGACCGGCAAACTCCCCGTCAACCTGCTTAATGAGCACTGCCAAAAGCAGAAGTGGGGGAAGCCAGACTATCGCATGGTCAGAGTTCTTCACGTCTGTGGAATATGAGAATGTGGGCTAAATATGAGAAGCATCGGGAAGGCGACGCATACGCCTCGCACGTCGTGCTTTCCAAAACGAACCCCAAGACCCGAGAGACAGTCACTCTCCCCCCCTTCAAGATCCCTCCCGAGCTCGTCGATTTCGCCAAGCAGCCTTCAGCCGTCGAGGCCCGCCATTTTGCTGCGGCTTATACCCTTTTCCGCGTCGCTAGCGGGAAGAATCTGCACATGATGATGCCTCCCACATACAAGGATCTTTGGAAGGGAGAGTTTACGGCGGTGAAGAAGAGCGACGAGAAGGATGGGAGGGGCTGGTTGTACGAGGCAGATCCCTTCCTTGCCTTCCAAGAGCGAGAGAAGGCGAAGGAATTAGCGGTCAAAGAACGAGAGAAGAAACAGAAAGCGCGGGAGCAAGCGCAGAAAGATATTCAACCCGGTATGCCGGTTCCAGCACCCGGCGGTCAATATGGAGCCAACGGAAATCGCATGAAGGGGTGGGCAAGGGTCCCGAAGATCGAGCTTGGGAAGCGGATGAGGAAGGATGTCGAACGGTTAATCCGGCGCGATGCTATCTGGAATCCTCACAACGTTCGAATGGACCAACAAACTCGATCGAAGATCGTGGCCGCGGTGACCAACCTGGGGTTTCGGCAGAGCCATGTCGAAGAAGCGGCCGGCATCTGCAAAGACCAGGAAGAGATGTTGGAATGGCTTCTCATCCATGTGCCCGAGGATGACCTTCCCGCTTGGAGCCTTCCCGAAGGATATGTAGCAGGCGTGAGCATGGCAAGTTCAAATCTTAAGAGGGAAGGTGCGATTAAGCGTCTTGCTGCCGCCGGCTTCGCTGCTGAACTTTGCGAAGAGGCATATGATGGTCAGGCTGGCGACGAAGCAAAGGCAGCTGCCTTCTTGCAGTCTCGTCTGCTTCGGCCTAATGACGAAGAGAAGGACATTGCCCAAGAAATCGCGGACCTCGCCCTTGCCGGTAGGCTAGATGAGGTAGATTTGTGGGATGAAGAGCAGACATCACTGGAAGCCATTTACGACAAGCGCTTTGAGAGACCCTCTCCTTTGGTATGCCGCATTCGGCTGGACCGTACACCATCAGGGAAATCAATCGTCCTTCAAGCAAGGAAACCTTTCGGCCCTTACCCTTCGGTGCTTCCTATTATCACAGTTGACGCCCCTTTGCCTACTTACATCCGACTAAGTATTATAAGGCAAGCCCTCCTTCACGCCGAGACAAATCTTACTGGAACACCCATGCTTTTCGATATAGTAGACTGGCTAGAGCAAAATATTCCTTCCATTATCGAACGCCCGGGACGATTGACAGATGTATCATCTGGTGTATCCGCAGCAGATCATAGCAGCTTTAGGAAACGCCTTCACGAAATACCCAAGAGCCGCTTTCGAATGCCCATCGAGTGGCGGCCAGGATCAGCGATGAGTCAGAAGGCACTCTCTCAATGGCAGGCAAAACAAGGAAGCGCTGCACAGCAAAAGATGCTGAAGGTTCGGCAAACTCTCCCAGCATGGCGACTTCGACATGAAATTGTGCAAACTGTCAGCCAGTGTCAGGTTTGCATCATCTCCGGCGAAACGGGATCAGGAAAATCAACACAGTCCGTTCAATTCATCCTCGATGACTTGATTCAGGGACAGCTTGGCGAGGCCGCAAACATCATCTGCACTCAGCCTCGAAGAATATCAGCTTTGGGTCTTGCAGATCGCGTCGCCGATGAGAGGTGCTCGAGAGTTGGAGAGGAAGTCGGCTATACCATCCGTGGGGAGTCAAAACAGAAACCAGGTGTCACCAAGATCACCTTCGTAACAACTGGTGTCTTATTAAGGCGGCTACAGACTTCTGGTGGTAACTCTGATGACGTGGTTGCTGCACTTGATGATGTCAGCCATGTAGTCGTCGATGAAGTGCACGAGCGCAGCTTAGATACAGACTTTCTTCTAGTCCTGCTTCGTGATATTCTACGCCGACGGACAGATCTCAAGGTCATTCTAATGAGCGCCACGCTTGATGCCGATGTCTTCGAGGCATACTTTAGCGATGTCGGTCCCGTCGGGCGGATCGAGATCGCGGGTAGAACATATCCTGTGGAAGATTTTTACCTCGATGATATTGTTCGCTTCACTGGCTTTGGCGGCAACAGGAACGACGATTTTGGAGATGAAGAGGACGACAAGTCGCTTGGCACCGCACTTCGTAGTGTGGGCATGAAGATCAATTACGATTTGATCGCAGAGATGGTTCGATACCTTGATGCTGTCCAGCTCGGTTCCGAAGAAGGGGGGATTTTGATATTTCTTCCAGGGACAATGGAGATAGATCGCACGTTGCAGGCAAGTGTGAACTTTCGATATGAGACCAACGAGTCCTAATACCAAATACAGGCACTTCGTCATTTCCCCAACCTTCACGCTCTTCCACTTCATGCCTCTCTCCTCCCTGTAGAGCAGAAGCGCGTATTCCCTCCCGCACCAGCCGGGAAACGGAAGGTCATTGCCGCAACCAATGTCGCCGAGACGTCCATCACAATCGAAGATATTGTTGCTGTCATCGATACAGGCCGAGTTAAAGAAACTAGCTTCGACCCTCAAAACAACATGGTCCGACTTGCAGAGACCTGGGCTTCTAGAGCAGCATGCAAGCAACGTCGAGGTCGCGCGGGTCGGGTACGCGCTGGACAGTGTTACAAGCTATACACACGGAATGCAGAGGCTAAGATGATGGAACGCTCAGATCCTGAAATCAGAAGAGTACCGCTTGAACAACTTTGCCTGTCTGTAAAAGCAATGGGTGTTCAAGACGTCTCTGCCTTCCTAGCTGGCGCACTCACCCCTCCTGAGAACACAGCAGTTGAAGGCGCCATCAAACTCCTCGATCAAATCGGGGCCATTGATGACAATGAACTCACCGCCCTTGGAAGACACCTATCTATGATCCCAGCAGATTTGCGCTGCAGCAAACTCCTCGTCTATGGCGCGACCTTCGGCTGTTTGGAGGCCGCTCTAACAATCGCCTCCGTGCTTACAAGCCGAAGCCCCTTCGTCAATCCCCGTGAGCGGGATGACGAAACCCGCAATGAATACAACCGCATTCGCGCATCATTCTCTCTGAACCAAGGTGACCTCCTCGTCGACCTACGAGCATTTGAGCAATGGTCTACATTGCGAAGCAAAGGTATACCAACCCGTGATCTCCGAGCCTGGTGTTCAGAAAACCGTCTTTCGTCCCAGAGCCTATTTGACATCGCCTCGAATCGCTCACAATATCTCTCCTCGCTTAAAGAAATATCTTTCATCCCAGCCACCTATTCCTCTTCTAATTCCTCCATCCACGATATCTACAACTCCCATAATTGTAACGACGCGCTAATCCGTGCCCTCATTGCCGGCTCATTCTCACCTCAAATCGCTCGTATCCAACTTCCGGAAAAGAAATTCGCAGCCGGGATCGCAGGCGCCGTAGAACTCGATCCAGAAGCTCGAACGATCAAATACTTCAACCAAGAAAACGGCCGTGTCTTTGTGCATCCTACTTCGACGCTCTTTGACGCACAGACTTTCCCAAGAAACGCCAGCTTCGTCGCATATTTTAACAAAATGGCGACCTCGAAGGTCTTTATTCGTGATATCACACCGTTTAATTCTTATTCCTTGCTTATGTTTGCGGGAGCGATTGCGGTGGATACGTTAGGGAGGGGCTTGGTGGTGGATGAATGGATTAGGCTACGAGGCTGGGCAAGAATTGGTGTTCTAGTTAGTAGGTTGCGGGGTATGTTGGATGGGGTGTTGGAGAGGAAGGTTAGGGAGCCAGGGTGGGTGGTTAGTGGACGAGAGGGTGAGGTTGTGAGGGTCGTAAGGGGGTTGGTTGAGAGGGACGGGTTGGATAACTAGAACACTTTGAGCATCAAGATAGATTTTGATATTCTGCTTTATTCTATTTCTATGTCAGGTAATGCAGCGCTCTGGACACGCCATAAACTGAAAGAGAAGTCAAATTATCAGCAACCGCTTCATGACCCTCGTCTTTGTATGACAAGCAGGCAACATACACTTTACCTCATGACAGTCGACAGTAATACCATTCCGAGGCCGCCTTAGTAGCTTCGGTGATACCAAACAAGGTGCTGAAGGATTACGTGAAGAAGCCCATAAAGATAACCCTTCCAGGCTCAACGGAAGTGCAATCCCAGTTCCCGATGTCGCCACAGCGTCCGCAATAGTTGTCCAGGAACCCCCTGCTGCAGCCATCGACCCGCTTGTCGGAGCAAGTGCTAGAGTGTTGAAGTGCGTTGAAGGTGGTATGTCGATGGTGTGGTGGAATTAATCAACGTTGACTAGGAAATTGTTATCCGTTTATATCTTCTTTGGTCGCACTCCTTAAAACTCTTCGTTGAACTGCTCCTTCCAACCCATCTTCGCTAAGTTTATTAGTTATTTACTCTCTCATCATTGTCTGTCTACTGCGTCTTGAAGTTGCATTTGATGTTCTTTGTCTACGCAATAATTTCTTTGTCTGAGGTGTTTGTTCACTACATTGTTTTCTCATGCTGTAGAGTATTCGCCTCTCCCATCGGTTTCAACTCTCAGTCCAAGATCAGTTGAGGTTGCTTCTCAATATGTTGTTGGCGGGTGTCAGAAACATTCCTTCGCCAAGCCAAGGCTTCGTTTCCACGACTACTATTTATCCTGTATACGGCATTCCTTCATCTTAGAGCAATTCTTTGCTTCGTTACTTGGCGCAAAGATGCCGTAAGGAAAAGTAGTATTTTTTTTGCGTAGTCTTTCCAGCCCAACATTTCCGAGGGAGCAGACCTGCCTAACATAGATTCACAATAGGTATATACTACTTGCGAAGGCTCTAGGAAGCTCAGCAGTATTGGCCGAAGGCATTCGAATCTTTTGACTAGGTGGATTGGATTGTCTCATAGGTTTCGTGTTCCAAAGCTTGGATGTATTCCGAACCAAAGCGGTTTTGCCACAAGTCTTTGTCTTTCGCTCGTTACACTACAAGAGCTTCTCTTCTTACAAGTAATTCACTTGGCAACCCGCAATGTAGTTGTTAACAGCATTGATCAAGGCACATTTTAACAAGGTCGCTTTAAGAAGAAGTGCGGCATCATTGCGCAGGATGAACCTGAGTTGTCCAGTCCTCTTACTTTTCCTGAGTGCCCAGAGCAGAAAATAATACGAAACTAAACGAATGAATGAAAAGATCTGGTCACACGGATACAGTAGGCTGAGGCATCTCAGGATGGAATAGAATTTCACTCAAACTTCCTCGAAAACAGCAGGCATCGAGGTCGGAGATCGGGAGTGCAGTATCCTAAGTTGTCCCTGGCCTAATGATGTACAGTGCAGGCCTAGATTTAAGGGTGCAAAACTCTAGCCTATTTGGAAATCTCTCGTCTTCGATCTCACCCTGGAATTTGCGCTCATACCAAGGCACGCAATTCCACCAAACAGCCACCTAATTTCCGTGCTCGCAATCATTTTAAAGCCCTGGGAGATGAGAACGAATACTGTGGTGGAATGGCTCGGTCAGGTAGATGTTTTGACTATGCCTCCCGTGTCTGGAAGTGGCAGCCGGATTTGTAGGGTAACTAGAATGTTTGGAAGCACTAAGCGAAGCAACTTTCTAGATTGGAGTGATCACTACGCTATGATTGATTGTGCGGTGTGGTACATGTAGGAAACCCAGAGACCTTGCTCGACACTAACAATACTACCATCCTTTTGCATTTGTCGCCTAACGTAGAACATGACAGAAATCTAGGATCGAAGTTTGTATCTTGTCAGCGTTCTCCTAGATTCCAAAAAGAGATTCAACGGATCAAATCCTCGCTGTTAATATTCTGTGGTAGTTTGGAATCTGCTAAACCTTAACTAGCTTAAAATCGCGAGAGATGGCTTGCCATGAGTGCACGTTCCGTTGGGGGTAGCCTCGTACAAGCTTGAGCAAACATCATGGTTGGCTTCCCATCTCGTCTTACTGCTTTACGGATCATTCTACCTACTACTTCAAGTTTCACTCCGACGGTTCCAATAGTATCGCTGTACGCAACGGCCACCTCCCAAACATTACCGTTACCTGCGCTTCTGGGTCGTAGGTGAGCTTCGTATTGTTCAGGTGATGGAACCCAATATCTACATAAAAATAGATCTTACACTTTACACCTTTATCCACGAGTGGGAGAAACCATCTCTCGGCTGCGCGTACGGCATACGGGCCCACCGACGACTGGTAGTTGTTTTCGTGGCTACCATACAGGCGAAACGAAAGATAAAGTGACTCGAGCTTCTTCATCGTAGAAATGATGGCCGGGACACGCTGGAGAGGGGAGTATTCAAATGCGGGGTTAGACTGTTGGAAAGCCTGGGGAAAACGTTTTTCGAAACTGCAGCAGTCGATACTGATGTGTTTGATCTGATTGAGACGGGAGAGCGGAATGGTGTTCGCGAAGACAATGAACTGCTCCGTGTCTCGGAAGGCGAAGGCGTTGCGAGAGTAGAGGAGATCAATACCCTCGGAATAACTAGCATGAATGTCAGAGCACGTAACTGAGAGCGAGGCGATGTGGCATGACCCTAAAATAAACGGCGGACCGGTGGTGGCTATATTGTGAAGCGTGTGCCAGGAAGGAAGTATCACTTACGCGAGCCGACATGACTTTAGTAATGACAGAAGCTTAGGCTGAGATTGCGGACGGACATTATAACACCCGAAATGACATTGGGGGACAACAGACGAACTTGTGCACAAGTGAGATTTCAAGTACGCAACCAAGTCGTCTGCGCCGTCGGTGATGGTGACATGCATTCTCCCCGACTCACAGAGGACCATCTCAAAGATCACAACCCTAATTTCGGGAGGGAGTTTGCAAAATAGTGGCGATTGGCTTTGGGAGAGAGCTTGCCGCTTCGGTCGGAGGGAGGAAAGAAAGGTCTTGGGAGGGTGGCAGTGAGTGGAGAGGCTGCCTCGACGATTTTTCGTAGAGCGTGCCTGTCGCTTGAACCGGATGACACTCATTCGGTCTCGCTTGGCCGCATCAAAAACTGGAGGATCATAGTCTGTTGGTCGCCGTTTCTCCCTGCAACAGAAGTGGAAGAAGATTAGAAGAGGGTATGCGAAAGTCGAAAGCCACCAGGTAAGCCGTGGATGGATGTAGAAGAAATACTGGACTTTCGCCAAGATATCTCCCATGTTAGATGCGAAAACCGAATATAGAAGTGAGGGATAAGAGGTGTGTACCTTTTGGGGACGCTGGTGTTGGAGATTGGGACATAATGTAGAGACGAAAGGTAGCAGCCTGGATACGAGATGCAAGGCTCAGAGAATGCAAGGCACAAAGCCGTGACAACTCCACACCGTAACTATTAAAAACGCTAGACACACGCAAGCATATACTGCGATATTTCAACAAGGAATGGATTCTGTTCGGAATGAGTTAGGAGAGTTAATCCAAGAAAAGGCTCAAACAATGCCATTATCTGTCCCGACGTCCACATTTGCAGTTCCTATCGATAAACTCTGGCGCTGAGCTGGGGCTTGCAGCATGGCTGGGACCGGCAGGAACCATGCACCTCAGCCCGACTAGCATCAAGGATCCCATCTCAACACCAAAGACTTGCCTTCTTCCTGTTAGGATTCAAGGATTGCATATTTACTGCATGGTGGCAGGTATGTTAGAATATGACAAGGGCTCTCATTCAGGGCAGAAATCAGCATCCTCTCTTGAACCCCTTAAATTCCAGCCCGAGATTTAATAGACTATCCCCACCCCAGTTACGTCCCATGGAATGGGACAACTTAATGTATGGATCCGTACAATAGACGCTTGTAGGAGAGGATAGGGCTTTGGAATGTCGGATACTCCACTTTGTATTATTGGTCTAAACTGTACCTACTGCATCTTGTCGCCTGACATGTGTAGAGCGTGACAAGAGCGGTTTAGGATAGATCTTTGCATCTTGTCAACGTTCTCCATATTTTCCGAGCGAGAGGGTTAACACCAGTCTACGCTACCCATGGTCTATCCAATGTAACAATATATTCAGCCTGTGCGTGCCACAATGCCAAGTCTCGTATTCGTGCCCAGAGTGCGGCTGAGTCGAGATTTACATCTCCACTTCACCATGCCGGGCTTTCAAGCTTGCGGCATCTCTCTGCTCCCTATTTTCCCTATCTTCCCGCACTGTTCTCTTGACTGATCAAACCGACTCCTACAGACTACAGTATGGCGCAATTTCCCGGCGCCCCTCCGCCTGGAGCATACGTCCCTCCCCAAGGCTCTGCACCCTACGGGCAACAACCACACAAGAGCACGGCGGGCCTCGGCGGTATTCTCAACCAAGCCGTTACAACAGGAAAACCGTTTCTGAATAAGTTGGGCAAGACTATTAGCTCTAAGGTTGGAAACAAGCAATCTACACCAGCTACACCGCAGCATTTGGCCGGATACCAGCAGTATCAGGCGCATCAACAGCAGAGTTATGGCCAAGACCAGCAGCAACAGCAGAACTACGGCCAGAATCAGCAGCAGCAACAGAATTATGGCCAGAGCCAGCAGCAGCAGCAGCAGCAGCCATGGCAACAACAGCAGAATACTTACCAGGCTCCCGGACAGTCTCCGCTTCCTCCCTCGAATTACACCAGTCCAGCTTCCAATCAATCTGGCCAGAGCAATTACTTTCCTCAACAGACTTCCCAGACTCCGAATCCCCCGCAACAGCAGCAGCAAAATGCTCCAGGATACAATCCAAATCAGTTAATTCAGGGACAAGGCGTAGAAGGACAGCAGGGCCAATCCGCCTCAGGACAGCCTCAGGCAGCGCAATTCCAACAAGGGCAATTTCAAGATCAAGGCTCACAGGGGCAATTTCAACAAGAACAGCATCAGCAGGGACAATTCCAGCAGGGCCAGGGACCCCAAGGACAGTTCCAACAGAACCAACCCCAGGATCAGTCGCAGCAGGGGCAATTTGAGCAAATACACTCCCAGCAGGCCAGCTTTCCAGGACAACAGACTGGCGTTATTGGGGCTGCACAGCCTGCAGCGCAGAATCTCGGTCCTGCCTCCCCGCAGCCATCAAATGTGTCCCAACACTTCCAGAACCAGCCCTCCCCCCAGCAACAATGGGCACCTCCAACACCCAGTTCTGGTATCGTAACTCCCACTGCTCCACAACAGGTATATCCGAACCCCTCTCCCACCCCGCAAAATTCACAGCCCTATGCCCAAACGCCCCCGCCCCAGCAATATGGTACCGCACCACAACCTCCAGTTCATCCTAATCAGCAGCAGCAGCAGTGGGTGGCTATGTCTCCTGTGAGCCCTCAAGGCCAAGCTCCGAACCAGATTCCGCCTTCTATTAGCCCTCCACCTCCACAGTCTGCGGGTAATCAAGCCCAAGCGCCACCAAATATTCCTCAACAGCCGCCACAGCAACCGCAACCTACTCCTCCTCCCCAGAGTGCGCCTCCACCATCTGCGCCCACTGCGTTTATTGCCGAGCTACCAGCCGACCTAGGAAACCTCACTCTTGAGAACTCAGCGCAGCCTCAGCGACCCCCATCCAATACACCCCAGTCATCGCCGTATCAGGCATATCAGCCGGCCCAAGGGGATCAGAAACCGGGATTTACGGTACCGCGCAGAGCCCTGAGTACAAGTAGCCTACCCTTAGCTGATCCATGGAGGGTAGCAGACCCAGCTACAGAACAGCCTACGAGGGAATTTTACATCATCGCCGACCTTTTGTTTGATGGGCTGGATAGGAAATGCGAACCTCAGAATACGGGGATGCTTGAAGCAAGCAAGATATTAGAGAGCTGGAAAGTGCAGACGATGGCGGATGAGGCTGCTCGTAAGTCATGCCACAGCTACAACATATTCGCAATGCAAACAGTGTGGATTTAATCTGTTGAACCTCATGCTGGAACCAGGGAGAAGGTCAACAGGTTCCCCCTTCCACGTTCCCTGTTGGGTGACCAGATGTAGTGTGACGACTTCAAAAGGCTCACTTTTCCACAGATATTTTCGAGTACAAGACGTACAACGCATTTGCCAAGCTTTGGATTCTGGAAGGCGTGCCCCACATGATGGTCCCTTGCCAACCTTCTCTGACGCCGGTTTGGAATTTACAACAGTCATCCAGTCAGGATATGAAGCTTCTCGACGAGCCTCCAGCTGCAACGTCAGGGTACCCCGTGTACATGCCAGCTATCAATCGAGCTGGATGGTACAAGTACCTATTCATGGAAATGATATGCGAACCAGAAGGCCTTGATAAGATGATGCCAGCTTTCTGTGGCGACACGTACAAACCTGGTGTTTTCAACCACCCAGATATCAAGAAGCAAGACAGGACAGAGCTGCCAGAGCTCACGACGAAAATCAACGCTGTTCGACAAGGAGCGGTTTCGCGGGTTGTTCAGGAGACGGCTGCAGAAATGCAGGCTGCACAGGGGGGAGGGGCAACAGGATCAGGGGGCGGTGGCATGACGGAGCAGGAAGCGGCGTTGAAGATGCACAGCCTGAAGATGCAACAGCAGACGAATGCGATGCTGAACCAGACGATGATGAATGCAGGAAAGAGCTTTTCGATGGGAGCGGGGAACGTGTATGTGCCTAGATTCTAGAAGGAGTATAGACTGAGGCAAGCCGTTTTGCTTGCCCTGGAAAGAACCCTGGGTTTCCCAGTTCCCAACGGACTTGAGATGGTGAAACGCGGAGTTGGATTGATATGAAAGTTGTGGCAAAGACGTGCTGCGACGATGTGTCTGCGACGATGTGTCTGCTGAGCGGCATTGTAGGATGCGAAGCACGTTACTCAATCACAACCTTCCAGGTTGCAATAATGATGGTCAGGTAGTTCATTCACGATGAATTTTCAATAGTGGTGGCGGATCGTTGGCGCATGGGGCTGGGTGATACGTCACGGGTAATCAGTGGCAGGGGGCGGGTGATGATCGACGCCGACGCTAGGCCGTGACGGGAAAGACGACTGTTCCTGCAGAAAACAGAAAACCGGAAGTCGCAGCTTTGCCACGGGCGTTTCCTTGCTTGACGCGACTGCCCAGTTGCACCAACAAATTTCCTATTTCCTGCCACCTGCTACTTGGACTTGCCACCTGGGCCTGCCACCCTCCGACAATCACTCTCACTGCATCTCCAACGCCGGCATCCATAAGAGCAGCATACCACCATAGCAGCATACCAGTATCGCATAGCCCAAACGTTGGTGGCCGTGGCTTACATATTCTTCCCCCCGCATTTCTAATTCCCATATCCCTCTCGAGGATAACGCCACCCCCGGCTATGAGGCTCGCCTCTATTTTTTTTGCCCTCTCCGTCGCGGCCATCTCGAGCGCCGACACCCCCCCCGAGGGAATTGGCCCAGATGCCTCGCCTCCAGCGGGCTGTAAGGAATCTGTTAATGGGAAGTTCACGATAGGAACGTTGCTGCTTCCCAACGGCAAATCCCGAAGGGAGACGGCACAGGAGGTACGCACACCCTCAATGCAGCCGTCCCGGCCCAACGAAGCCATGTACTGACAACAGACACTCGCACAGGCTGCAGACAAGGCGTTTGTGTGCACGCTCCAAGACGGCATTCTTCATGATCCGTACAATCGGACCGGCTCCATAGTTGCAAACCGCCAATTCCAATTCGATGGCCCGCCACAGGCAGGCGCAATCTATACGGGCGGATGGTCGTTCTGCAAGAACAACACACTTGCGCTGGGCGGCTCTACGCTCTTCTACCAGTGCCTGAGCGGCGGCTTCAACAACATCTACGACCAATACATTGCCGACCAGTGCGCCCCGGTCAACATCGCCGTGTCTTTGATAAGTCAGCCAAGCTCCTCGAGCTCCTCGGCTGTGGCGTCCAGCACGCATGCAAGCACCAAATCCTCATCCGCCTCGGCGTCCGGCAGTCTAGATTCGGCCTCGGCCTCTGTCACCGCTGTGTCTAGTCGCAACGGGACCCTCAACACTGCGTCGCCGTCGATATCCGGCGCGTCCTCGGCCAGTATAACTCTTGCGCCTCCATCGAGTGCCGGCGTGTCCCCAGCACCATCAAGTTCTTCTACCGGCGGTGCGGTTCCCACTCGGGTACCTCGCCGAGAAACATTTGGGGCGGTCGTTGGGATACTGGGAGCAGCCTTGATTCTCTAGTTACCCATTTCGAATTCCTTGGAACAGTACAGTATTTCAGCGTGCATAGAGATGATAGCGAGCTACAATTATACCAACATGGGTCGAAGGGTCGGATTGGAAAGGGCGGCGTGCGAGACTACGTTCTGAGTATATATTTCACCATTGGATAGAGTGGAGGCGCCTGTAAGACTTCTCGGTGCTTTAGGGGCGCCCTGGCATTGGCCTCAAGATCGCCACGCGTTGGGTTTGCCAAAGCAAAGTAATGATAATCACGCATCTTGAAGTTTTCCCTTTGATTCCTTTTCATCATTCTCTTAGTCCTCTGTCTACTACGGATTAGCAGCTCTACATTACAAGCCTTCGGTGCGTGGTGATACCTGTTTAGATACAGGGTACTAAATTTTCCCTTACTCCTCTAAATACCTCCATACGACTAGTTCGTTGAAAAATACTGGAGCCTGTTCTCGAGCTACCGAAAGACGGGCGTCAACATGCAACCTCCCGTCGCTCCTCAGTCCAGGGAAGACGCAATGTTCGAAAGAACTGATGCTGTGAATCTACCGCTCATCCATACAAGCTAGCTCATCGATCCTATGGACATGTCCGTCGCCATTGTGACATACGAACTCGTGCTCCAAGTTTTCGCTACGTAGGCCATGCGCGCAGAGCTTACAGACTAGATGGAATACCTCACTAAGCCGATCATGCAGACGAACGACCAAATTGTAACAGTTGCTAGAAATATAGGTATGACGGTATAGCATGTGCATTGTACGTGTCAGATGGGGAGGAGCTGTCATGTGGCTACGGCAGTGGATGCTAAAGCAGAGGGTATTGGCGTCCGGGGGCTAAGGGTTGTAGGTTCGGGTGTGGTTACGTTACGGAGGGAAGGGATGGGTTGAGTGAGGCGGAGGGCTATTCGTTTTGTAACCTTTTGAAAACTCCAGGATATTCTTTTATGCTGCTCCAATGGCTTCTGGATGAGGTTCGAGACATTATATTGATGATCCTTGCGGTGGTTCTGCAGGTGTTGTTTTAGTCGTAGGGTTTTAGTTCGTTCGCACACACAGACCTTCTTCTCCAAGTCTACTAGAGACAGGACATCCTAGAAAACGTCAGGTATTCTAATACATGGCTGACTCACTCAATCTCCCGAATATCCCGATACCCATGCTACCTGAAGCAAATAAGCCCATAGCCACCCTATCCCCCACCGGTTGCTTGCATTGAAAGGAGCCGTCTCAGCCACAGCCATGAAGGCCATGCCGTAGCGTTCGGAACCGACAAGCGAACCACGAGACACTCGGCCAACATTTCAGCCTTATGACCCACGATCCGAATCCTTTATGAAGCCTTCCAGTCCGCTGGGTATCGAATTTTAATTGTGTGGGTATGCTAAGGCCTGGACGAATGGAGGATCGCTGGCACAGTCATGCGAAGGGTCGAGCGGAAATGGTGAACGGGAATCGTGGGATCGAGTAAGTTTTCAGATGTTTCTGTTAAGCTTATTGATAGACAGCGCGTCCCAGGGCTTTGCCTGCAACTCGCGTTGCGGCAGTTGTGGTTCACGGGCAGACCTTGTAAGTTCACGATTGCCTGAGATCCCTTCTCACCCTCCCGTGTCTCCCGAATCTGGCTAAGGTCGATAGCCTCACCGATCAACAGGACTTGGCCTTAGATGACGTCTTATCGGTGAGCTTAAAAGATCCTCAATAATCCGATCGTCGACGGCCGCACCCGTCGAAAGCGTCCGTCCGATCGCACTCGTTTCTTCGCTAATCTCCTGTCCAAGCAGAGCCAAGCTATCGTTTCCTTCGAGGACAAACGGCAACTTTTACAGCTATCACCACTTCACAACACTTGCCTTAAGGAATCTTTCAAATCAGACAAGTAAGGCGAGCCTCTTCCTCCTCTCACAGGCTTCTACTTCTGCATGTCAGCTTCCTTTCTCACGCAACGTTGGGCGACAACAGCCGTCTGGTGTTCGAAAGGATCGTACTTGATGCAGGCGGTGCATCCCGCTGCAAGCTTGAATCTTGGCTCTAATCGTGAATGGCTAGGAAGATAGCATGAAACACACATTTCCAATGTCTCAGGTTGGGTCGCCAAAAGGCGGGCTCGCCTCTGTGCGGCTTCGCCCGCTAACATCTTGCTCCCACCTTGCGACCGAGAAACACCTGGGCAATCTTATGTTGTCGACTCCGTTCCCTTACAGCCTCTAGCGGTGGAGAGAGGAACCCATATGAAAGTTGCATAACATGGGAATTCATTCCCTTTTACTTGTCCTCACTGTTGCCGCTTCACTTTCCGTCCATTGCACCAGCGTGCCCCGGAGCCACATCCCGAGATCCTCTCCCATTTCAGCACGTGGAGAGGAACTCCTTTCAAACCTGTGGCATGTGTTCAGACCACCTGGCGCGATTTCAGACTGACGGCTGCGGCCATGTGCATGACGACCCCAACAATTCGCTTGGGTAAAGACACCGGAAAGAATTTTGATTGGTTCCCTAGTGAGGAATACGCGATGTCAAGTTCTGGGGGATTGCACGCTTTTCTTGTCATGGAACGGGCCGGACCAGGCATCATTAGCAGGTGGAAATTCGTGAGGAAGGGACTTTGAGTGGAGCAATCAATGTGCAGGCGGCCAGATGCAGGTCAGCAAAAAGGAGGGATTTTGTGGTTCTCGTGGCTGATTCCTGCGGTATTCTGAGACGGATATGAGATCAATCTATGGTAAGAAGAGGTGGAAATAAGGAAGGCTCTCTCCTATATTGAAGGAAGTGGCGAATGCGAAAGCGACGATTCGTACGACGATTTGCCATAGCACGAGGAGACGCCGCATAAAGGGGGCTTTCGAGGAACCATGGCAAGTGCCGCTGAGTATGGGTATCCTAGATCCCTACAGCGTCCACCAAGCCTCACTAGCAGGGATTGACAGTTTGCAGTTGAAAAGTATCGTAAAAGCATGGTCTGTCTCCTACCGATGCCAAAGAAATGATATCTTTTGGTTGTGACTGAACCATTCCACACCATGGCCGAAGAGACAGGCTGGGTTGACCGGAGAAACCTGGCGTTGAATAAGAGAGGGAGCCGGCTGGTCATTATTTTGACTGTGTTCATGTTCTTCGATTTCGTCTTCATTGCTATTCGACTGTATTCGCGGAGGATAAAGAAGAGGGCTCTGGATCTTAGTGACTATTCTATCCTCATTGGATTTGTGAGTCCATCACTACAATTATTTGGCTACAGAATTGACAATATAGGCCCTACTTATCGGCATCTATGCCCTTGAAATCGTGCAGGTCGTCCAGTGCGGCCTAGGGCTAGAGTATGCCTGGGTCAGCGCAAACTTAGGCGTCGATAACATTAGCCGGCTTTTGAAGAATGCCTTTGCGGCCAACACGCTGTGGAATCTTTGTACCATGGCCATAAAGGTCCACACCTGTTCGATCTTTCCTTCCACCACCCGCTTGCTGATCAGTATAGATCTCCATCTTGCACCTTTATCTCACCATATTCAACTCCGTCACAGCCATGAGACGCATCTGCTGGGCCCTGGTTGTTGTTGTTGTTCTTGGTCATTTGGGCACAATCCTCGAATCCCTCTTGATCTGCAAGCCGTTGTCGTATATATGGAATTTTGTCTACCCAACTGCGAAAGGAAAATGCACCGGAGGGAAGCTAGCAAGCTTCATTCCTGGACTGATAAGCTTGACATTGGACATTATTGTTTTCGTGTAAGCTTCGCCCATCTCTTGGTACTACTTGGATTTTATAGTATGGCATACTCATCAGAAATTAGGCTTCCCCTGCCGGTCCTTTGGAGCCTCAGGATGCCGACCTCGAAGAAGATAGCCACAAGTTCGGTCTTTGGAATCGCACTTGGGTAAGTCACGCCACGCCCATTGCATCCCTCCCTGGCGTTTGCGTGTCTAACATCGGCCGTGTGTATATAGAATCGTCATCGTCTCAGCTGTACGCCTAAGCTTTGTATATACCAACTCGACAGACTACACCAAGGAGAGTATCAAGTACTCGATATGCGGGGCCATTGAACCGATGGTAGCAATCCTCGTCAGCTGCACGCCCATGCTACAACCCGTCGTTCAGCACCTCTCAGGCGGGAAAGTGGCTCTGTGGGCGACCAAGCGCAGTGCAGGTGGATCGGGTCCTGCAGGCAGCGGCAACGTGTCCTGGCCCCATGCCAGCCAGAAGAGCTACATCAGCAGCAGCAAGAGTCCGGGAGTAAAAGGCGGCTTTGAGAGGATGGGCGAGGAGGACGGAGACTATCCGCTTATTGATCGACCTGGCGTGAAGAGGAGTGGAATGCAAACGCCGGAGAGGACTTATTTTGAGAGTGAGAGTGAGCTGGAAGATGGCAGGATTATGGTAACGAGGGACGTGGTGATTGATAATAGACCAAAGAGCCGGGATGAAAGGAACTGGCTGAAAGACTTGTGAAACGCATCGGATGAAATGAGAAACAGGTGCTCGTCGAGGTCATGGGCATGGTTATGCAATGGAAATGAATACTGCTAAGTCGAAGGGCTTAGGAAGGTGCCTCGAGATAGTTTTATACCCTGTGCGCGAAAATGAATGATGATTTCTTGTTTGGCAAATGGAGACGTTCAACAAGGAGCGGAGGGACCTCGATATACACAAGAAGTTGCACGTAGTCTAGCACGTGATTATGACGTGACTTCGTGTTTCGAGTTAGTGGAGACTTCGGGACGCAGATTAGCGCGGTCGTGCCCCCACGAACAAAACTTTGAAACATCCACAGGAAAGTACCGTTGGCTATCACTCTCCCCTCGACTCGCGACTATGAGCACGTATGATGACCCTCTCCTCATGGACAGCGGCGATGGTAAGGTCCTTCCCGCTTACCTCACGCGCCACGTCAACCTCGGCCTCGAAAACGACGACATCTCAGCCCTCATCAGCTCAATCGAGCTGAGCCAGGTGACGCGCAACTCGCAGCCTTCGCCACTTCCTCATCTTCCGGCTGAGATACTGCTTCGCGTGCTCGAACATGTTCCGGTGGATTATATCTTGGAATTCCGGGCCGTGTGCCGCGGGTTCCGCGATTACATCGACACAAGGGTCATGTACTCGTACCTCCTGAGGTCAGAATTACTTGGCTGGATCGGGTGCAGAGGGGAGCGCGAGCTCGACCCGCCCTGGGAAAAGCGATACACCCATTATGTGCCTGCGCGTTTCGAACGGTTGGATGTGGATGTGGATGGGAATGGCAAGCAGCCAGGCGCAAGGTGGAACGCTAGCTATGCCATCTTTCGTATCGAGAAAGGCTCCCTCAATGGTCCTGATCCATGGCCACAAAACACCACCTTCGTTAGGCTGTTTAGGACGCTTCTTGACCCGCAAACACCGCCACTCACCGTGGTACACCATTACGGTCGCCTGCGATGGTGTGTTAAAGTGGACAGTCATATCCTCGACTGCGCCTTTATAGAACCCTGGGAATCATGTGAAAGCTTACAAGTCGATTTCAAGGAGCAAACGGTTCGGGTCTTGTGGAAGGACATGATCCAACAGCTCGTACGGGAGGAAGCCGCTATTCGCAAGAAGATGGAGGTGACACAATCGTCCCCATACACCTTTGGTCACGAAGAAGATTGTCTCCGAGCTATACGACGACGACGCCTACGACTTCGCCTGCCCAAAGAACCTACTGTCCCTGAACACCGCAAAATCGTCTGGGCTCTCCGCCACCTCCAGCCTCTCTTCGGAAAAACCCCCTGCGCAAAGCTGAGCTATCCTTGGGGCGAAGTTGAGAATGTTGAAGACGGTGCGTCCGCCATTCTAATGCTCCTACGCAAAGAAGCCGCCACTGGCGACAAAGAGCTACAACATCTACGCCAGCTTGCAAGTGATAGAGCAGCCATGCTCGCACAGCGCGATCATATTGAGAAACTTGTTGAGAACTGGCATATCAATATTTTCGATCGTGAGGTGTTCTTCGGCACCGATTTAGCGGAGAAAGAAGGTGCAAATCCTGTAGCCTGGTCGGATCGGATGCGGGCGTTAGTAGAGCAACGAGTGCGGAGGTGGAAGAGCCAAGAAAAACTCATCGACAAGATGATTGAGTTGATGGAGACTTTGACGGCAGTCATGGAGGTCCCGGAGGATGCGTTTGATAATATCCACAGCCAATACTAACGACAAATTTATAGGCCTCGAGCTTGCCGGGAGATGTCGTTAGATAACCATTTCTTTGAGGGAAAGTTGTGAAGGTGTGTGGAGCTTTGGGGTTTTAGCTCTACCCTCTTCAATACCCATTTTGAAAGCCTATAATCACGGAACAAATAGATTCTAGGAGGCATAAAACCCTGCCACACGTACTCTCCAAGGCCTGGGTTTTAACCAACACCGCAATAGTACTAAATCTCGACCGAGTTTCACTGCCAGCATTCTTTCACGATTCCAGCACAGGACGGCGGAGAGTGGACGACTCGGATTTAAGACTCCGTCCAAACAGTACCAAACGACTCCAGATCCGAGATTCCGCGCCATGGGATTGCCAGAATGCGGGGTTGCACGTGCATTTACTCCTCATGCTCATCGGGGAAGCTCGGCAACGACATTTAGTTTGCCTCTTCTAGCTAGTGGCATGTGTCTCGCGCTTCGTGTGGAGCACGATTCTCCACACCCATGGTCGATTTCCTTCTAAGATTCACTCGACGTCCGGATATGGACAACCGCGTACAGTTGTTAAGGCGTTCTGGTTTCTGTAAGCCTTGCGCTAGCCAGACTCAGTTCCGGTCGTGTGGCCTATATCTTACCATGTCTTCTTCTTCGATTCAATTTCTGCTCCAACAAGTCATCAGTTGTGAACTTCCTCCCATACGGCAGTTTCTTCCAGCGTAACCCTTCTTCTATCATGGCGCCCGCCACTCGTCGCCCTGTTCGTGTCGCCGGAGCTTCAGGAGGGTTCTCAGACCGCGTCCGTGCTATCGCCTCTCTCGCTAAGAATGAAGAAGTCGACGTTATTGTAGGAGACTGGCTTTCCGAACTTACTATGACCATCCACGGCACCGGAAAAATTAAGAACATGGAACAGATGATGCAAGCACGCACTCTCGAGGAGAAACTCGACTACGCCATGTTCGCTGAGAACTTTCTCGACTGCTTCCTGCCCGCCGTTCCAGACTTGGCTGGGAAGGGAATCAAGCTTGCGGTGAATGCCGGGGCTTCGGATACGGAGATTCTTGCTCAACTTGTTGATAAGAAAGTTAAGGAGATGGGTTTCAACTTGAGGGTAGCGTGGATTGAGGGTGATGATGTTACCGGGGCCGTAAAAGGCATGTTGAACAAGGGTGAAGGCTTCCGGAGTCTGATGCACAATAAGTCTGTCGAGGAGTGGGGACTAGAGCCAGTGTGTGCGCAGTGCTACCTTGGTGGTATGGGTATCGCGAAGGCCCTGGCTGAGGGTGCTGATGTTGTAATCTGCGGTCGTGTGTCGGACGCTTCTCCTATCATTGGTGCTGCTGCGTAAGTTCCTTTTCGAATGTTGCCTGGTGTATGCAGCTGATTTTGATAGATGGTGGCACGAATGGACGAACGACATGTTCGACGAGCTTGCCGGTTCTCTAATCATCGGTGTGTTGATCTCTCCCTCCCCCAACCGCCGTACTAATCCTCTTAGGCCATCTCTTGGAATGCTCCGCCTACGTTTCCGGCGGCTACAGCGCCGATTTCCGCCAACTCATGGAAAAAGGCAAGCACATCAACCTAGGTTTCCCCATCTGCGCCATCGACCACAAGGGCGAGGGCATCATGTACAAGGAGAAAAACACTGGTGGACAAATGACAGTCAGCAGCGTAACCTCGCAGCTCCTTTACGAGATCCAAGGTCCTCAGTACTACAATTGCGACGTTACCGCCCAAATCGAGAACATCAAATTCGAACAAGTGGGCGAAGACCAAGTCAAAGTTTCCGGCGTCAAGGGCCTACCACCCCCTCCAACAACCAAAGTCGGGTTAACAGGATTCGCAGGCTGGCAAGCCGAGTACCATGTCTACCTCTGCGGTCTGCACATTGAAGAAAAGTGTAAATGGACCGAAGAACAAGTCAAATACGAGCTCGGCGAGGAAACCCTCAAGAAATTTACAACCCTCAAATTTATGCAAAACGGCACTTCACCAATCGATGCACGCAACCAGGACCTCGCTACCGTAGACTTCCGCATCTTCGCACAATCGACGGATCGGGAGCTTCTCAACATGCGGAATCCGCAGGGGTTCTTCCGTGTCAGTATGGTAACGTTTTTGCAGTCTTGCCCTGGTGCGAGCTTGGGAAATGATATGCGACAGGCGGAGGGGAAGCCCTACTATGAGTACCACCCTTCGCTGCTGCCACAGTCTGCTCTCCAGCAGCGAGTACACTGCCTCTGGGACGCCGAAGGAGCCAAGGACGGGAAGAAAGTTATTGATATACCTCTTGCCCCTGAATTCCGCACCTACGACCGCCAACAACCCTCCTACGAAACCACAAACCCCGTCCCGCTCGATAGCTTTGGTCCTACAGTTCGTCTACCCCTAGGCTCCATCGTGCTGGGTCGATCTGGAGATAAGTGCTCAGATTGCAATGTTGGCTTCTTCGTGCGTTACGACGATGAGTGGGAGTGGCTGCGGTCTCTCATGACTATTGACAAGGTGAAGGAGTTGCTAGGGCCAGAGGAGTATAAGGGGAAGCCGATTGATCGCTTCGAGATGCCAAATATTAGGGCCGTGCACTTCTTGTTACACGATCATTTAGATCGCGGGTACGACGCGTGCAGCACGTATGATACGTTGGGGAAGAACTGCTGCGAGTATTTGAGAGCCAAGACGGTGGACATCCCGATCCAATTTGTGAAGAGGGGGGTTTTGTAGGTGGATGATGTGATGGGATTGTGCACCGGACAGGAGAGGAAAAGGAAACTACTAGTCAATCTGCCGTTATAGCGTTTTCGTTTCGAATATCATAATTTCCCCCTCTCATTCTTACAAGTAAATGACGCGCTGTGGCACTTATGAAGGATTCTACGGTGCATTGAATTCCCTTTCCCTCTTTCACTAGTCGTTATAGAGAAGTCACATGAAGGTGCGCCGACCTAGTCTTTCCAAACAGATAAATTGAACCAATTCACCGCTAACCACAGAATTACGCAGGCCATTAAATTTAGTTTCTCAATTCATGACCAGCTGATCTGGGTGCTATGGTCTTTGTCTAGCGTCAACAAACTCGAAACAACAAAGGTCCTGGGTTTATACTGGCGACTTTCTCCTCTTTGAAAAGCTCCGCAGACACATTCTTCCAGCCGAGAACTGTCTCTGGCATAGAGCCCCAGCTTTAGCCCCAATCTTGCTTTAAAATTTTAGATAAGGTCGGCTTGCATTCTCGGGAATAATTTATCGACCTTCCGAAAACAGCTTAGCGTATAATTGCGCACGGTGAATGTCGACTTCAGATCAGTTACCTTCCCTCAGTTCTCCGCTCATGACCTACTGTATCACCCAATCACGGCCTCCACCAAACCTTCGGTACGCCTCTTGCCTTTAGGGATATATGGGTACAAGGGTACACAGAATTCTTGCTTGCGGAAATGTGTTGTTGGTAATACACCCATCTTGTGCTTCAGATAACAGTCGATGATCGTAATAGGGCTTGAGATGCGTTCACCAGCAAATATGTCATAAGGGGTTTGCTTAACTTGTGTGATGCCACTTCAGAAGATACACCTTTGCCACCTCACAACGATCAACATTATGTTAGAGAAAATCAAAAGAATCTGGTGCAAAGGGGATTCGATTCAATGAACACATAACGCCAAAAATATAGAAATAATTGTAGAACTCCACTTCCTTAGTTATCTTCGTATAGTCTCAGTCCCCATCTCATACTCCTTGTCGCCTTCTTACTTAGACTTATTAACGAATTCTTCACGTCCGCAACAAAATTTCCATTCGTCCACGCTTGACTCGCATCCCACATCATGACGCCGCCAAAGCTACTATACTTCGCACTATATTGAATGACGGGCTGCAACTGGCTCGGAGTTAAGTAACCTCTGCCAGCTCCTGTATTCGCGGGAACACCTAAGAGCACCTTGACTGCGGGGTTCTTAGAAGCGGATTGTGCCCAATCGTCCCACTGGTTGAAATTAAAGTTCCACTGGTCAGAGGCTCCAGGCACGTAAGATGAGGCTCCGCAGCCGTTGTTGTAGAACTGGACGTTAAGAAAGTCGAGGCTAACGTTGTCGATGATGTCTTTGTTGTACCAATCTGGGAATGGGCATTGAGGGGCAGCGCTGAGGTAGTACTTCTTATTCGTAGCACTGTTCATGTGGGATCGAAGTTGATTTGCAAATGTTGCCTGCATTGACGAGGGAATTAGCGGATTTCATAATTTAAGTAGGCGTGAAGGATATATACCATGTTGGAGACGTTGGCTTCGAAGTCGAAGTCAAAGCCGTCGACAATGGCTGAGCTAAATGGTCGTAAGGCGTTTGAACCAGATTGAACAGGTCCGAACATCGCCCAAATCTTGTCTGCGGAATCGGTAGCGGCTTGTGAGGTGGAGAAGCCGCCTTCGTTGTATGAGTCTCCTCCAATCGACAACAGGATTGTCTTACCCTGTGACTGACAAGCGGGAATGTCAGACCTGGCTGAATCAGTCCGAGTTAAGAAGAATGGTAAACGGGGGAGATTTACGCAATTTCTGGACAGTTAAAGGTTTCTGTTCCAGGAAAGAGGCTGCATTTATCACCCTGATTAGCGAAGTTCATGACCGGCTGGCCGCCGGCACCGTTGAATCGCAATAAGAAGGAAAGTATGATGATCTACAGAAACATGCTCAGTAATGTAGCAGGATCGAGTTACTAAAAGTGCGCACATTGATGTTGGCGTCTGAGTCTTCATATTAGCTGACGCACTGGATTGAAGGTGACAGAAACCAACCGCTGCAATAATTCGAGAGACGCGATTGGGTGCTCTGTTGACCGGCCGAGTTCTGGCCCCAGTATATCGCAACATTCGACTTGCTGTTTAGATTGAATCCCGCAGAGACAAGGTCAGCGGCCGCAAGGAGTAAAAGAATGGTAGGCAGCAGGCACATGTAAGCTAACATGATTGGATTATGTTGACTGTTGGGAAGCTGTAGTTTGTTAAGTGAACCGGCATAAGATACATGAAAACCAGAAGCGAAAGATTCAACGAACTACATAACAGGTTGGACTTCGAACGTGGATCTGAGTAACATGCACGCGAGCGGTCTTTTTATAGTTGTGGTTTGAGTCTTGCTGTCAAATCTCCGTCAATGAGCTTGTAGCATCATATGAAGGGGTTGAGTTTGGCAGGGAATAGAGGTGGGTTACAACACTGGAGCCCAGTTCGAAGCAAACGTTACATATTGATATATGAGAGAATGGCACGGTTTAATGGAGTTACAGGAGCAGCCATGTCTCAAAAAACAGAGGGCTATGATACCTGAGAATGCATGCGAAAGTGGAATGTCGCTAGAGGTCTACTATTAAAAGAAAGACAAGAAACGATACTCGGCCTGGCCTGCTGTAAATGGCTGCTTCTGTTACAACTTGAGAGCCAACTTTCCATGTGCTGCAGATGAACTTGGAAATGGAGAGGGCTGGGTGCAGTTGCCTGGATTATGTCATATTTGCGACTGGCCTATACAATGAAGTGATGGCGTTCAAAAGCAAAGTAAGGAAGAGGGAACCCTGATGGGGCACAGGGGGTTGTTTTTGCGATCATTTGGCGATTGTGGGTTGACATGAAGCTGAGCCGGGATCTAGGCGGTACCTTCCTGTTCGAGCACCTAGTCGTACGGCGCACATCCTAGTTAACCGAAAGTGCGTGAACGGGAATGACAGGGCTAAATTCAAGGATAGGACGACCTCCTGACTAGGTTGGAACGGAAATTTGAGCAGGTACTGAGGAAAAGGTTGAGTTACATCTATCCCTGAAAGCGGTATCTAGTGCATCTTGCCAACAGACATGTGAAATGGAGCTCACCGTCTCCTCTGCGGCGTTGGCCAAGCGAGAGCATAAGTTCGCAGACTTTACACCCTGCCGTCATGAAACATACTATCGTGCACAAGATTACAGCGAAAGGATGCAAGGAGGTTAGTGAGAGTGGAGAGCGCTTAGGAGACGGCAGAACAGGAAACTTTTCAATAGAAGCCCCGGTGTTTGGCTGCCGACCATAAGATATCCTTCTTGCACACCCACCTGAGAAGGGCCTATCTACAGAGCACACGCTATTATCCCGGCAATTGGCCCTGCTCTAGATGCGAAAATATACCCCACCATGCCCACCTCACGTCGGTGACAACCACAAATATTGACAGTATCGATTAATCCATTAAACTTCTGATAAAGAGTTGCAGTATGTACGTTTGTGCTCCCGTCATTCCATGTGCTCGTCGTACATTCCTTTCCGAACCTGTACTCTCCTACTTTGGAGTAGACTTTACACCTTGGCCTACGCCCTCTGTTTGATGAGATCCGCTCCCTGCTCAGCCGTCAGCAAATATTTACCCAAAAGTAGCTCCATGCAATCTTACCTTCTCAGCAATAGCATATGTAAGCTGCGTGCTATGACACGACGGTAGTAGCGGAATAATTGAAGCATCTATAACACTTAACCCTTTGATGCCATACACCAAAAGGTCCGGACCAACAACACCTCCCATGTTTTGCGGCAACATCGAGCACGTTGACGTTGGATGAGCAAAGCTCGAAGCCAGGAGTGAAGATTTCATTAGGTCCACGATTTGGGCGTCAGTAAGATTTGCCGGGTTGCTTGGGAGAGGTGCTTGATAGACAAGGCCGAGACTTTGCATTCCAGGAGTGCTGAGATATTGGATGAGATATCTGAAGGCAGCGACTGCCATGTCCATGTCAAGAGGATTCGTCATCGTGCGGTAGTCGATGAGAGGCTGCGAATTAAATGGATCGGTCGTGTTTAGCATGACAGTGCCTCGGCTGAGGGGTTTCTGGACGCTCATGGCCTGGAAAGGACCGCTGGCGAAGGGAGTCTCGAATGCGGGCGATGAGTCATGAGCAAAATGCTTTAACAAGATGCTGAGCTGGGCGCTGAATCCTTTGATGAGTTCCGGAGTGTACGACGATGGAAGATACTGGGCCGGGCTCTGAGCTTTCGCAGCGTTAATCAGAGCTGTAACGTCATCGACCACGGAAGAAATGGGCATGAAGGCGGCATTATTTCCGAGAGCCAGAGTGTAAGGGCCCCCATGATTTTGTGTGTAATTTTGCCAAGTCTCCGCGTTGTAAGTGGCATTCGCTCGCCAGTAGTCTGGGTTTGGAATTGGCTGGTTGTTTACTAGAAAAAGCGTGAGATATGCTGTAGAGAGGAGGGGAGGGACTTACAAGCAAAGAACACAAAAAAGTTTGGCTGATCTTGGAAGTTTTGGCCCACGCCAGGGAAGTCGAGCACAACCTTGATTTTCGCCTTGTTCAGGACCGCTTTTGGTCCAACGCCACTACGCTGCAAGAGCCATGCGGAACCGAAGGTACCAGCGGAGAGGATTACTTCTTTATTTGCATAAATAGTCTTTGTCATGCCATCCTTGCTCTTGACGAAAACTCCTTTGGCTGTCAACGGCCCACTATCGCTAAAGACAAGCTTCTGGACATTGGTGTTGTAAAGAAGGGCGTAATTGGAACGCGTCTTAATCGGGTCGTAGTACGCAGTCCGGGCGTAAGACCGGGTTTCACTCACGGGATCGAGGGTGTTAGGGACCCATAGAACGCCAGATTTCGAGCCCGACGCACCCTCCCTAATGAATGGAAGATCCATGTCTTTCCAGGCTTCAAGGCATGTTTCTAGACGACGAGTTAGTCATAACTGAGTTGGAAGCAATGTTTGTAAAGAAGCAAGAATCAGTCAATAACAGACAAAGATCCTAGCACATACTCTGAAATGGCCACTGAAAGGGAGGATAGCTGGCTTGGACAGGACCAGTACCGTAATAGCTCGCATCAAAGGTATAGCCGTACGAAGAGATTGACTGTGCCGAGGGGGTAGTGAACTTGGTTGCTTTCTTGAAGTATGGCAGAAGGCCTGCCCAATCCCAGCCTGTGTTACCGAGCGTAGCCCAAGCATCGCTGCTCACTAGTCAGCAACATGAATTCCAGCATGAGTGCGAATCACGAGACATACAGGTCAGCCTTGGATGGTCTATCCATGAACATTCCATTCACGCTGGAGCTTCCTCCGACAACGTTGCCAGCATATCCCTTGTCAGTCCGGCCATTCAGCTTTGTTTGGGGAATGGACGTGAAATTCCACATATAACGCGAATTCTGAGATAGCGTCGAAGTGGCATTCGGAAGAAGCAAGTCAATGGTATCGCCAAGCTCTCCGTTTTCGATGACAAGGACCTTCTCTGCGATAGCCAAATATTAGCCGCCGTGGCACGGGAGGGGAGAAACAGTGCCTACTCTTGGCATCCTCGGTCAGGCGATTAGCAACGGTCAAGCCCGCTGTGCCCCCTCCGATGATGATGTAGTCGTAGGTACTGCTCACATCAGCTAACGCTCTCTTGATTTGCGCCGGTCGCGCAGCCGAGGGGAGCGAGTGTCCGACGGTGGCCAAGCCGGCCACGACGGTGAGGATAAGCAATTGGGCAACCATTGTGAAAAGCTAAGGAGATCGAAGCGTCCAAAAGCCCTTCTCCATTGCTCTATTTCAATAATCTCGCGGTACCTGGGGGGCTCCTGGGGATCCTTGGGCTGGCGGAAAGCCTTGAATCGTGCACTGCTCATGCCGGGCTCAACGGGAGCGAGATGCAACTGCCGTCAGGCCCTGAGTGCAGCGTTACCCGCCAACAACCCACGTCCCTTGCAAGATGCCCGTTTCGAGCTTGAAAGGCCGACAGCCATGAGGCGCAGAACACGAAGCGGGGGGGCTTGGAGCAGGGGCGGACACGGGCGGAGCCACCAATCCGGCCCGCGCGTTCGGTTGCGGGGACGGCGGAAGCTTCGAAACGCGACATTAGGGGCCGAACTGGTGGGCCTGGCGCGCCTCTCGATGTGCTACCTTTTGAAAGAACATGCAAGAAACCGCAACAAGTAAAGACACCTCACGCCTTGCGACGCCGCACAATACTCCATTCACCCTCGCTTCACAGCGTCAGCGGTGTGCTGCTGTCAGTTGAAATATGTCGAACGACCAGGCTCTGTCTCGCAACCATTATTTGCGCTTGCGCTTCAGTGGCGTGAAATGCAAGACCTCGTATTGAATAAGCGCCGAAATGAGGGCATCCCGGCGGAATTGAAACGCTGCAGGAACGTGGCCATATCTTAATCAAGAGCCCATCTCAATTCAAGTGCGGCACAGCAAGCCAATACGGAACAAAGGGTCGGTGAGGGGTTTGTGGCGTGTACAACTCTAGGAACATCCCTTATGCTCTCCCTCCACTCTATTTAGCTTCTGAAATTGTAACCAAAAGTTGTCCCTCAAGGACACAATATGATTTAAATCAGATCTTCATGCCCGTCAATCTCTTCTCAAATGTCTTGCAGGATCCATCTTCAACCGACCCACTTCCAACCACCCCAGACCAAGCCAGCCTTCTTTGGCAGAACATGATCTGCTTTAGCGCGCCATCGGATTTGGGTCCTCGGTCCCGCAGGCGATATTGGATGGGATTAGCGTGTCCTGACTCTCACCGGAGGCTGGTCCAGATGAAGAACCATCACCCTCGTCGTTCGAGCTGATGAGCTGGGGAGAAATATTGATGGCTTCGTCCGAGTCAGGTCGTATGTGGAGAAAGTGCTCTTTCAGCTAGCTTCAAGGCATTCTCCTTGTCCCGTCGGCATCCGCCACTGATGACATTGAAGTAGGCGAGGGTTCTTCTTAGAATTAGGTGAGAAGATCAAGGCACCTCCAGATATGTTGAAGCTATTGGATGATGCGAGAGGTTCTCTAACGTGACCTCCGAGGAAGCTGAAGCTTCTACAACCGGGATAAAGAATTGCAATTATTTTGAACACTTGGAGTATTTCCTGGCTTCTCACCTGGCTGCAGTTTAATGCGGGGATGCTCAAGAAAAAACACCTAAATTGATGCCACTCATGGCTCCTACAACTCCAAGCCACGCTCATGGCTAATATCCCGTCTCTTTTCGCTACCAAACATTCTCGACCTTTTGGATTATAATTGGTGATGAGGTCGCCGCTACTACTCTGTCATTCTGAGGAGAAGAAGTGTCTCTTGATTCCAAGTGTGCTTGGCGCAGGACCAGTAGGATCAATGCTACACACTCAAAAGCTCATATCAAGGAACCACACAATATCTCCTTCCACTGCACTTCCCGTTCTCTCCAACTTGCCACGCTGGGGCCCGTCGACGATATACGACTTTGTTGCAAAATATGTGTTTTCGAGCTCTTTCAGAAGAATACACATGGAGCGACTTGACGGAAAGGTGTTTTCCAATTGTCTTAGTGAGGCTGCTGCTCTCGAAAGATATGTACTAGTACGGTGGAGAGGCGTGAGTCATTACAGACTCATCCGTTTTGTTGGGGTTGCAACAGATGGTTAGATTGTGGAGGGTGCACAGGAGCCCACAGCGTCAGCCCTTACAGTGTAAATGCTAGGCGAACAAGCGGGCTGCTTGTACAAACATGAGGAGGACCACCTCCATGGCAGCAGGAAATACCTCTAGCAGTCGGACAAGTACCCCATAGATATCAAATTCCAAGAATCAGGTGTTGACGCAGTACAAAAGGGCTTTCGACAGAGGCATCATCCTTCCGTCCCATTTTAAAACCACTCTAAATTTCCACTACCGTACACAATGGTCTGTCCTAGGTGCACCTCTGCTGATACTCTTGAACAAAATTAGAGATCTCCCCCCTAGCATCCGAAGTTAAAGCTCTGCATCCCAGACTCCCGGATACATGCCCCTAAAACTCGAGTCCATCGCAGCCCAGTCTAAAGAACCCACATCAACATCTATTGGAGCCTGTCCGAGTGCGTTAGGATATTCTCCCGGCCTAATTGCTCCGTACCCGCCTTGCCCTCCGGAGCCTATGCTGGCTATCGGTATCGACATCGGAAAGTTGTCAATGCCTATACCCATAACGTGGGGATGGTGTGTGTCCGGCGTTTGTGCATTTTGGGCTATTTGCGCCACTCTCTGTCTGATGGATGACACAATCCTTGGTGGCATTAACGGCTCTCCTAATTGACTGAGGGCTGCTTCGCGAGCGCCCCAGCCCTGGAGGACAATTTTGGTGAAAATTTTGAAGAGAGGGCTTTCGCTATCTTTGCATAGAAAACCGAACCGAGCCTCGTAGTTGTCACTCATAACCTCCCAAGCCTGTTCAGCATGCTCACTGCCAGGTCGCCTTTTCAGGTCTTGAATAATTTGAATGTATGCAGGAAATGGGAAGTAGAGATGCGCTAGCCAGAGGAATCGTTTGATAAGGGGTGAGGTCCTGAACTGCGTATCGCACTCGAGCATGCGAAGCGCATGGGAAATGGCCGCGTCGCACTGCGCATCCGTCTGTTGGACAGATGAGTTTGAATATCTCGAATGGTGTTCCAGGAGGCGGCATTTAGCAAGGTATGCTCGTGTCCACCAGATCGCTATGAAGTGGAGTGGATTCTCTGGGTCACAGAATTTGAGATATTTGTCCTCAATCGTCTTCTCGAGAGTAGTCAACTCATCAGCTTCTTGGATGAGACCATTCAGAGCAGTCTTAAAAATGGGTTTCAGAGCCGGGCTGGTAAAGGCAAGGTGGAACATTGTGTGGCGGACAAACTCCCCAAGCTCGCTGCGCACAACAGCAAAGAGTGCATCGGTGGACTTCTCCTGAACCGCCGGTAGCACTTTCATCTCTGGTCGGAGGTCAGAATCATTCACGTTGAGAGGAATCCTGCAGTCCCAGGTGGGAGCTAGCGTTGCGGTTTTGTGGTCGGCCATCTCGCTAATCCGAGTGTCGAAGAGTACGAGAGACCACCAAAGTCTTCGGCGTAGTTCAGCCTCGAGAGCGGTGCATTTAGCTAAGGCAGACTCGCTATGAATACCCATACGTTGCGCAATGCGAATCGCAACGCCAAGCATGGCGGAGAGAGATTGAGGAACTGTACTAGGTCTAACCGAGACCTAAAATTATTAGAAAGAATAAACATAACCACCTAATAGGCTTACTAAGTAGAGATAAAATGCGGTCAAGCAGTCGCGATCACTAGATCGTAAAAAGCCGCAGTTCAGTAGAGCTTGCTGACAGCTGAACTGAAACTGTATCAAAAGGTCGTCCTTTGACGAACCAAAGATGGCCTGGCAGTCGTCCACAGCAAGGCTAAGAATGGCCATGCAGTAGATACTAAACATAAGCGCCTCTAGGGTGGGCTTGATATTTGTCACGTTGCTAGCAGCTTCTATGATGTGTCCTTGCAGGCTGGGAGTATGTGTGACCTTGAGCAGCGGGTTGACGTTGTCCAGGTAAATTTGCCAAAGCCTGAAAATCTGGACTGGTGAAGGGTGTAAAGTAGAGAGATCGACGTTTTTAATACGGGAACCAAATAAAAGGTGGTCATTTTCTCCAAATAACTGGACCCATCCCTTCTTAACCACCACCTCAAGCACCTCATCGTGTGAAGAATCGCTGTCACTGCCGGAGGCTTGGACCTATTTTAGTTGTTAGTAGAGCTCGAATAGCATGTGACGTAGTCGTACTCCTAAATTTAGGGCGTGCCAGAAGCTCCTAACAGAATTAATCATCTTCAGATATGTTCTTCGGGGGAGCGTACTTGGCCTCATATACTCGTTCAGGCTTGGCAGCTGTTGAATGAAACGACCAATCCGCCCCCGAAGCCTCTGGTTGCTCGCCGTCTGATTCATCACCGCCCTGCGTGTTGGTAGATTTCTTCTCCTCAGCCGGATCCTTGTGAAGCGGTTCGAATTTTACATTGTTTTGATGGAGTAAGTCCTCGTACTTGCGAAGACGTTCCAGCAGCTCTCGCTCCGGAAGCCGGCGTCTTCGCCGGCCTCGTGGGGCCAGTGTCGCCGGCACACACTGCGCATGAGAAGTGTTGCAATTTGCGCAAGGAAATCTGCGATCACACTTGATCTTACGCTGCTGGCAGCGTACACACGCTAGCACCCGCTGTGGCTTCGAAGGTTGCGAGGACGAAAAAGGTGTCGACTGAGATATGTCTGAGGTACGCGCCTCCCACTCTGACGTGGGCAGCACTGTCGACATACTTGCAGCACTAGGGTCGCGGTGACAACCTTTGACGCCAAAATATGCGTGCCTAGGAAATTCTGGAAACTTAGTGGTTAAGAGAAATTAAAAAAAGGAACGGGGAACCGAACATCACTTCTTTAACGAGGGTGGTGCGGAATCTGTTGGGGCAGGAAATTAGTGTAATGTCTTGGCATCTATTTAGAGCATTAATCTATTAACGTACACCACAGGCAAGTTGCTTACACACCTAAGTTGCTTACTTTTACTAAAACTATACTAAACTACTCTTTCTACACTAATATATTTCTAATAACACTACTTAAACATGTTAAAAGAATATTAAATATAGCTTGTTGTAAGGCCGGATGTCCTAGAACAGGCTAGTATAGCCTCCCCTAACCTGTTTGGAGGTCACATGACCTGTGCTTTGTATATAAGCATAGATCTTAACAAGTAAGGCTTAGCAGTAATTTATCTCTCTTATAATACACTTTTATCTTTCTCTAAAAGCTTGCTCTTAGTGCTGTAACGATCCTCATGAATCGTTCCATCTCGAGTCGCCCGGAACCTCCGGAAGGCCCTCGTATCGGCCCCGACCTCGACCTGGCCCCGACTCTGCCCTGCCCCCTGCTGTACCCCTATTCCTTCATGTATTTAGTCGCACCTTGCCCCTGTAGCTAGCTTAGTAGTTTTCTAATATCCTTTTATACAAGGCTTATAACGTACCTAACAGGTTAGCCGGCCACACAGGTTGGCTAGCCACTTTTGCTAAGCCCCTACCACACTCTACCTATCTACATAATTGTAAGGCCGGATGTCCCAGAACGGGCCAGTATGGCCTCACCTGACCTGTTTGGAGGTCGTATGACCTGTGCTTTGTATATAAGCATAAATCCTAACAAGCGAAGCTTAGCAGCGATTTGTCTCTCTTATAATACACTTCTATCTTTCTCTAAAAGCTTACTCTTAGTGCTATTTGTGCTACTTACTATCCTATTTTTACATTTAAATTGCTCTATAAGCTAGCATACTGCTTAAAGGCAACATTCCTACATAATAGTGTTAAAGCAAAACGCTAGAGGAGAAGTAGATGCAACTAGTGCTTAAAGACTACTTAAAAAGCTAGCTAAGACTGCTGCTTCTAGTAATACTTAACTAAAGTTAATACTAATGTAGAGAGAAATAAAGCAAGAGATAAGTAAAAGGGATAATAAAATTTCTTATAGATTAGGCTTATTAAGCTATCTAGAAGGCGTTTAGGGCCTAGAAGGGGTTAGAAGGGCCAGTGCAGGACTAAACAACGCACAGTTTACCCCTGTAAATTAGGCTTTAGCAGAAGCCCACGCCTAGCTGCAAGAGCAGCAGGAAGCGTAAGAACTAGCTAGAATAATAGAAATCTATTATTAATTTAAAGTAAGTAATATAAGCGCACTTAATAAGTTACTAACTAAGGTATTAAATATTATTATACTAAAACTTACTTAAGACTAAGTAAACTTACTGCGTTTTAAACTGCTGCACTAATATAAAAAAAGAATAGAGCAGACTATAACTAGTAGTGTAGAGATAATAAGGACTATTACTAAAAAAGTTTATTAAGCTTTACTTAGAAATTACAAAAGATCTCTTTTAGCCTATAATACATTAATAAGACACTATAATTACTATAAAAGATATACTATACTTATTTAAAGCTTATTAACCTAGTATAGTTACTAACATAGTGTTACAATCCTTACTCTAGGGAAATGGTATTTTCCAGAGTACAACAGCCTATATGGATATTAGTGGAGAAGGGATGAGAACTTAGCTGGATCAGGTGTACAGTCTGTCGAGCAGAGTAAGGGATAGTCGGATTTTAGGAGGCAGGCTGTGGTTTGTCCCTATAGCTGTATAGGTAGCTAGGTTTTACTAGTTAGGTAGATAAGAGTTAGAGGTATATATATTATAAGATATATAAGGCAGCTTAATCTTCTTTAGAAAGGATTTAAGCTTTTTAGTTTATTATAAAGAATAAACTAAACATTAATTATAACCTTCTAGCTATAGTTAAGATTAAGACTATATACATAATAGTTGCATGCTTGCATGCTTGTATGCTGTTTTCCTTTATAGCCTATAAGCGCGTAAGCCTGCAATACCTTATTAAATAGCGCATTCTGCTAAGCATTTATCTATAAGATAGCGCTATTTCTCTTTTATTTAGTTATAAGGTCTGCTAATTGCAGGGTTAACTATCTCCTATCTACTATGCTTAGGGCTGTGTGTAATAGTAAGCTAAGTTATTACAGTCTATTTGTTAGCTGTAACACATAGGCTTTCCTTCTAGTTAGCGTCCTTACTGTTATGTTTTTTCTGTTGTAAGCGTTAGGTTTTCTTCTTAGCTAGTGCGTAAAAAGAAGAAATTCTTAGCGCGTCTGTAGTTCTTTATAGCTTATTAGGAGAGAGTGTAGAAGCAACTTAATCTTCTAGCAGATTAAAGGGCAAAATATCTAGAAAAAGACCTCTCCTCTTTAGATAAGCTTAAAGCGCTTAAGGCAGAGGCAGCTAGTCTTCCTCCGCCTTAGCTAGTGTTAAAGGGGTGTGGTCTTCCCACATTGCAGCTAACTAATGTAATAGTAGTTTTAGCTAGTAAAAATGTCTTTTAGTTGCAGGAACTTTTGCCTAGATAGTTTAATTTAGAAGGCGTAAGTAATATTCCTGCAGCGCCTTCTAGGTGTTCTGCAGGTTTGTAACAGGTTCCTAGGTATTTTTATAGGTTAAGTATTCTACTTACTTTACTAAGTAATAATTTCCTTTCTTATCTAAAATCTTTTTAACTTTATATTTAAGTTCTTTTTTATTCTATCTTTAAGTTACTAATAGAATACTTTTAGGTGCTAGTTCTAGTTTAGAAATGTAGAACTATAGGAAGATTTTTATATCTTTTAGTAATTTAAGCTTATATGCTTTTAGGCAGGTTTAGATAACTTTATAAGGCCCTATTTATTTTTTAGCTAGCTTTTATGCTTATTAAGGGTTTTTAAAGTTTATAGTATCTAAATATACATAATTATAGGGATGTATTTCTAGCGCTAGCTGTTAGTGTTAATTTATAAATGCTTCTATAGCTTTAGCTGTAAGCTAGGCTTTCTTACCTAATTTTTAATATATTTTTAACAGTTATATTGTCTAGCTTAAGGCCTCTAGTAGATTTGTTAGCTAGGTTCTAGAAAGCTTATATTTATAAAAGTAGCTAAAATTTGCTTTATACAGAGTTATTTTAGTTAAGGTAGACTATGTAGTGTTAATAGCTAACTAGGCTATTAGCAACTATTCTAGCTAGTCTATTTATTTGTATAAAATGTATTTTTATAAATACTTTTTTATTTCTATGTTTATTTATTCTGTTTGTTTATCTGTCTAAGAGTAATAGGCTATAAAGAGTTTATAGGTTATTTTAAAGTATTAGATTACAGTTATTTAATATTTACTAGTAAAAAGTTTATCTTTATATAAAATAATAATCTGCAGGCATCTATAAGTTATAAAAAAAATTTTTTTTATTTTAAACATAAATTCTTTTACTGTTATGTTTTTTTCTATTACTTATATAAAAACAAACTTTATAGTTTTATTAACTATTACTGTAATTATGTTGCAAAGCCTTTCTATACTAGGTTTACAGAATAGTAGTAGTCTTGTTATAAAGTCTATTGTTATTATAGTCTAAGGCTATTTAAGTGCTGTAATTAGTTAAAGTTATTTATATAGTTTATATCTTTAAGGATTGTTCTTGTTGCATAGGTTACACTCCTGTAGTACTTTAGTGTATAAGTGTTTTAGTTATAAAATGTTTTTAAAAATTACTTCTTTTATTTTTTTTTAAAGTAATCCTATTCTAGGGTGCCTAAATATTAGAGCCTTATAATACTTTTTAATAAAGTTTTTTTATCTATATTTAGTAATTATAAGGGAACAGATTAATCTTTTTAGTTCTAGTCTATTATATATTAGACCTTAGTTAGTTTCTTTAAAGATTACAAACTTTTTTATGTTTTTTTCTAATTTATTAAAATAGTTAAAACATTTACTAAGAACATCTACTTATTAATTACTACTTCTAAGGATGTGCTTAATAATAAAGTTAAACTATACTAACTTTATTACTTATTATACATGCATTAAAAAGAGCTTTTTTATTATTAGAAAAGTTACTAGGTTAGCATAGTTAGTATAAATAATAAATTATTATTTAAGTTTTTATAATTTAACTTCTTAATTTCTATAAGTGTTAACTATAGCTTTAAGCTTTTTATCTAGTATAGTATATTTTTGTTCTACAGGGGCAAACTTTGCTAAATAATATGCTACTAGGTGCTAATAGCTATTCTTTTACTTTTATAAAAGGGCTACTCCTTTAGCTTATTTTAAGGCGTTAGTGTGTACTTTAGTTTTAAAAGTTAGGTTATATATTTAAAGGACTAGGTAGCTAGTAATAATTTTTTTTAATTTTTTAAAAAATTAATCTATTTTAGTTATCTACTAGAACTTATGTAACGCTTTTTCTTTTATTATAGCGTCTATAAGTAGGAGCGCTATTTTAGAGTAGTCTTTAATTATTTTTTATACATAGCCTGTTAGTCTAAGGAATTCTCTAATTTCTATAACAGACTTAGGTATAAGCTACTTAAGTACTTTAGTTATTTTTTTTAGGTCTATTTTTATTTAGTCTTAGTTTATAATAAATCTTAAATACTTAGTTTTTTATACATTAAATTTACATTTTTTTAGCTAAAGGTGTAGACTATATTATCTAAGGCGTTCTAGTATAAGTTTTACCTTAGATATGTAATTATCTTAGCTTTCTTTAGTATACACTAGTATGTTATTAAGGTATATAAGTATAAATATATTAAGGTATAAATTTAAGGCTGTGTTAATAACTTTTTAAAAAGTTATAAGTGTGTTAGTAAGTCTAAAAGGCATAATAAGTAGTTTATATAACTTTTTAAAGGTCCTAAAGGCAGTTATCTATTTATGTCCTTATTTAATTTTTATTTTATTAAATCTATCTTAGACATTAAACTTAGTAAAATGTTTAGTTTCTTTTAGTTAGTTTATAA